ACTTCGGCAAGCAACATGGCTTGGTGTGCCTCGCTTCCCGGCCGAGGTCGCCAGTTTTGCCGCCGACGGCATCCATCATTTTAAACCCCCAGACGACATCAAACCAGCCATGTCTGTGTCATGTGTGCCTGTGTCCGTTATATTTGATCTGTCCTGCGTTCCCCAGGCAAGTTTCCGCAATTCCTATCACAAGTGACATGATGGCAGTTGCTGTGCCTGTCGGCAACAAGGTACGGCGCGCATAGGGCCGGGCTGGCTGCGTCCACCATCCACCATCATCCACCCGCAAACCACGCGTCGCATGGTCCCGTGGCAGGCGGCATGCGGCGTGCATGCACGTACATGATTTGGTCCCCCTGTGCTGTGAGTCCCTGTCCAACCGGAACAAAGATGGGCATGAGCAGCTAGCACGGTAGAGAGCTACCAGCAATCTGTAAGCTACCAAGCTACCTACCTACCAAGCAAGTACAGATTACATACCTCCACAGCGGCAGGAGAATAACTAGCGAAGGGGGGTGAAAATGGTCAGTGGCCAGTGGCCAGTGACAGTGGCCACACACAGCAAGCACATGGTAGCCAGAAGGCTGGTCAGTTGTCTCGATATTTCACAGACTTAAACTCTGATTCCCTCTGTTGATGTAACCATTGGACCCAGCGGAACAGTCGTCAGAAAACCGCAGAGCCTTGCTGGCTAAAACCACGGTACTATGGTTTCTCGCCGTTCTGGTTCCCTTGTCGCACCTAGATGAATCTCGGCTCTTCGTGTTTCTTTTCAAGCTTCCCGTCTCACCGACGCGAATCGGCATCATCAGAGATCGCATACGCAATCCAATTTATCTCTCCGATACTGTGCTCCTCTTCCCACTGCCGCCGGCCGCCCTCTTCAGCTTTGGGCGAGACATATTGGCTGAACGATGAGCCTGCTGGGCTGGAGACGGGACGGGGTGGTGTGCCGACATGGAATGTATGCCGCTGGACCCCCCTCGATCCCACACGTAATCAGCCCAGTTGAAAGGGGGGACCTTGTCTGCGGGAGAGCCGACCAAGGTTGCTATCGGGGCCAGTTAATATACACATGGTTACCTCTTTCTTCTTTTCCTTCTCTCTTGTGCTAACTAATTAGCTAGGTCGAGAGTCGCAGTCGCAGGGGGCGTGCGGCAACCGGTCTCTGTCCATCACCATCACCATTCATCCCCCTACCATGGACACCACACCGCTTGAGTGATCGATATGTACATATCAGTAGGGGCATGCTGCATGTACGCACGTGTGCCCGTTTTAACAAAGGCCTAGACATGGGCTTGGTAATAAATGAGGTGGCTGGCCGCCTCGATTCCGGCGCTGTCAACAATATGCGGCCATCGCAATACTGCAATCTGCTGGGACGCTCTGTTGCATCGCGCGCGCCTTTGTTGCAATGTATCCGTTGACTATGGATGGTTTCCTTGAACCTGATTCGTAAACAAACCATTTCCATTGAACCTTCCAATTCCGGCACGGTAACCCGTCTTGGCCTTCTGTTCTAGGTCTAAAGCCCATTCATGCGTCGTGATGAATGCTGGGTGGGAAATAGGCTCGGGCCCGCGATCCTCATGCGAGTTCGTACGACTTTTTTTGGGTGGTCTTTGGGCAATAACGACAGGGCACGACATGGATACATCTCTCTTCTTTAAATGAAATTGAAACAAACAAAAAAGGATCGTGCTGCTTAATAAAGCGAGCACATTGCCCAGTCGTTTAAAAGCTTATTCAGGGGGGTCATCTCATTTTACTCGCATTGGAAATCGAGACAGGAGATCCCCAAATTGATGAATATGCAGATGTGCTATTGACGAATTGTCGTCCCGCCAAGCACAAATTCTGGCATCATCTTACCCCGCGTGGCATCCATCTCTAACCCAAGTAATAACAAGTAATAATAATAAATGGAATAAAAAAAGAGAGAGCCCAGTCTCACTTTTATTTTATGGATACGTTGCACTTGGTACAGGGATGATGGATGCGCTTGTCATGTCCTGTCAACAAAATGTCGTGCCCAACGGTTTTCGTGTTGTCAAGCCAGGGCCCTTTTGCACGGATTACTCTCGGCGTCTTCCCTACATATCTCTTGGATATAATTAGGTTCAATTTTGGACTGATCTAGGCGCCGTCTGTCTGCAGATGGGCTTGCTTGCTGCAGGGAACAGGGGAGTTTGATGTCGGATGTGCAAAAGCCTTGGCTGCCTCTCTCTCTCTCTCCTGCAGCTTCGTTAGTTGTCAATGTCGCCATCGGCGCAAGGTGGCCAACGTTGTCAAAGGGAAACTTCAACGGCCCGAGGTGCTTCCAACAGAATTCATGCGGGAGAGCTCACCCGAAGGCCTGTTCCCTGCCAAGATCTGCATCTCGTGAGCATGTTTTCCGTCGAGCGTGATCCTTTGTTGACATTGTTTGCTTCCATCTCCACAAAGGCCAGGGAATTGGAAAGGGCCCCAATGCACTAACCCAAGTTCCAAAAAATCGTCTGCCTGTCAATGTCTTCTGGAAAAGCCAAGAGTCGTGTCTCAGGTCGGCGTTCACTGTGGGTTTTCAAGTAAGACACGATAGGGCATTTTCCGGGATTTCCATCATCTCCGGGGTAAGTCAAGATGCGCATCCTCTGTTGTCTTGGTTGACGAGTTCCGCGTTGGGGACCACGCGTCCTTCGCAGCATCGGCACTCGGCCAAACGGACGCACAATAATCGCACATGTCTCATCTAATAACAGAGCTATCACCTTGACATGCTCCAATGCCAGACCTTCTTCCGAAGCCCCCGTGAGCCAGCCTATCTCACAGGAAATATCAAGCTGGGCTACTGCGTGTTGGTGTTGATGAGTCTACCCTGTAGTCACCGCGACCTTGAGCTACTGCGATGCGACACAGGCATCACACATGCTGCAACCAGCTGTTGGTGCAATCACCCCCCAGTCGTCGTCAATTCGTAGCTAAGTAATCTGCAGTCTGATTACAATTGTCTTCCTGATCTTACTCGTCAGAGCTGATGCTGATGTGTATTCCTAGCCGCAACCGTTGACGGATGACAAGTCAGTTCGGCTATATGGATGGCAAGCTTGACGGGCCTCGGCTCCGGGCGGCGCGGGGGAAACGGGCGATATGGCGCTAGAAGATGCGCTAAACCCCGGAAATCAACCAGCCCCCAGGCCAGAATCAGGCTATGAAAAAAGCATCTGACAATCGGCTATAAGAACGGCAAATTCTAGAAATATCATCAAACTTGCGCCGCTCTCTTCACTTGCACCCCTCGAGCAAACCGTCATCTTCGTTCGCCTTTATTAATTCCCATCATCATGAACGCCGAGTACCAAAAGGTCCTCACCTCCGCCCCGGCCGTGCTGCCCTTCTCCGAGCCGCCGTACCTCGCCGGCCTGCCGTCGCCGTACCACAACGACTCGCACCGCCACTTCCAAAAGGTCGCCCGCGCCTGGATCAGCGAGAACATCACCCAGCACGCGCTCGAGTGGGAGCGCGACGAGAGCGTCCCCGAGGACCTCTACCCGCGATGGGTCGCCGCCGGCTTCCTCCCCGCCACCATGCCCGCGCCCCTGCCCGTCGACTGGCTCAAGCGCCTCGGCATCCACGAGATGCCCGGCGGTGTCAAGGTCGAGGACTGGAACTACACGCACTCGGCCATTTTTGCGGATGAGGTCAGTTCCCCAGGGTCCCGTTCGCCATAGTCACAGCCCATGTCTTGCTTGAGTGAATGATGAGCTAACCAACCCCGCCCCCGCCGACAGATGATGGGTGCTGGTCTCGCCGGTCCTCCGGGATCGTTGACGGTCGGTGTCGCGTACGGTCTCCCTCCCATCTTCAAGTTCGGCAGCAAGGAGCTGCAGGAGCGCGTCGTTCCCGACATCATCCATGGCAAGAAGCGCATCTGCATCGCCATCACGGAGCCCGACGCCGGCTCCGACGTCGCCAACATCACCACCACGGCCAGGAAGACGCCTGATGGCAAGCACTACATTGTCAACGGCCAGAAGAAGTGGTAAGCATCGACGCATACTTCTAACAAAAAAAGAAAAACACTGCCAGAGCTGCGTCGGCTGACTCGCCTCGCAAACAGGATCACCAACGGCATCTGGTCCGACTACGCCACCATGGCCGTCCGCACCGGCGACGAGGGCGCCGGCGGTCTCTCCCTGCTGCTCGTGCCGCTCAAGGGCCACCCGGGCGTCGAGATGCGGCGCCTCAAGGTCGGCGGGCAGATCAGCGCCGGCACAACCTTCATCGAGCTCGACGAGGTCAAGGTGCCCGTCGAGAACCTCATCGGCCGCGAGGGCCTGGGCATGACCTACATCATGACCAACTTCAACCACGAGCGCATGAGCATCTGCATGGGCGTGGTGCGCCAGTGTCGCGTCGCGCTCAGCACCGCCTTCGCGTACGTGATGCGCCGCGAGGCCTTTGGCAAGCCGCTCATCGACAACGCCGTCGTGCGCCACCGCCTGGCCGGCGCCGGCGCCCAGCTCGAGGCCTACGCCGCCTGGGTCGACCAGCTCGTCTACCAGATGGGCAACATGAGCAAGGCCGAGTCCGACCTGCGCCTCGGCGGCGCCGTCGCCATGGCCAAGGCCCTCGGCGGTCGCGTCTTCGACGAGGTCGCCAGCTGCTCCATCCTGCTCTTCGGCGGCAACGGATATACACGCAGCGGCCAGGGCGAGGTCGTCGAGAAGATCTACAGGGAGGTCCCGGGCATGCGCATCCCGGGCGGCAGCGAGGACGTCCTGCTGGACCTGGGCATCCGTCAGCTGCTCAAGATTTACCAGCTTCAGACGCAACTTTTGGGCACAAAGTCCAACTTGTAAATGTGTAACAACTACTCGTCATCATTCTTCCCATTTTGCATACTAGTCTCGAAAATAAAACAAGCATCGTGTTTGACTTTTCATTATTGAAGCAACGCTTTTTAATCCTCAGGTATTCTAATACAAATGGGCTTGCGTATTTTTGATTCATCCAATTTAGTATTCGTAGAAACCCTTGCCGCTCTTCTTGCCGAGCCAACCAGCGTCTACCATCTTCCCAAGCAGCACGCTGGGGCGGTACTTGGAGTCGCCCGTCTCGGTGTAGAGCACCTTCATGATGGACAGGCACGTGTCGAGGCCGATGAAGTCGGCGAGCTGGAGTGGGCCCATGGGCACGTTGGTGCCGTTCTTCATGATGGCGTCGATGGAGTCGCGGTCGCCGACATTGGTCTCGAGGCAGATGACAGCCTCGTTGATGTACGGCATGAGGATGCGGTTGGCCAGGAAGCCCGGCGTGTCGGCCGAGACGGAGGTGACCTTGCCCATCTTCTTGCAGAATTCGACGGCGGTGTCGAGCGTCTCCTTGCTGGTCTGCAGGCCGCTGATGATCTCAACGCCCTTCTGGATGGGGACCGGGTTCATGAAGTGCGTGGACACGACGCGCGACGAGGCCGACGTGTCGGTCGGGTCGGCGGTGGTGGCGGCGGCGATCTTGGTGATGGAGATGGACGAGGTGTTGGTGGCAAGGATGGCGTGCGCCGGGCAGATGCGCGCGAGGTCGGCGAAAATGTCAAACTTGAGCTGGGGGATCTCGGGGACGGCCTCGATGACGAAGTCGACCGAGGAGAGATCGTCGACCTTGGTGGTGCCGGTCAGGCGGGCGCGGATCTCGGTGGCCTGGTCCTTTGTGATTCTCTCCTTGGCGACATCCTTGGCGAGGAGCTTGTCTGTGGCGGGCGTGAGTGAGCGAGCGGCGGTCACGGTGGAAGCCGGTAAAGGCGTCGCGACGTACCAGCAAAGGCGAGGCCCCTGGAGAGGGCCTTGTCCGAGGCATCCACGATGGTGACGGGCACATTGGCCCTTTGCGCGGCAACGAGAGCAATTCCGAGACCCTTGAGAGGTTCAATTAGCCACACATCGTTCTCTACGTGGTAAGGGTTGGTCGCATTGGCGACGGGTGATGTATGGCCTTACCATCTGGCCGGCGCCGACTACGCCGAGCTGCTTGACCTCCGCAGCATACTGGCGGGACGTGGTGCTGAAGCAGCGCGCTTGGCGGGAGGCGTGCAGCGCACGCATGCGCAGAATTGAGCTTGCCATTTCGTTTTTTTTTTCTTTTGGAGAGAAAATGTGTGCTTTGTGATGATGTTCAGATGCAAATGGCTAAGCCGCTGTTTGGTCGGAACCGGTTTGAGCACCGAGGCGGCGGGCGTCGCGGGTAATCTCGGCTTTCATGCCGTTTGTACTTGCTGGAGCCGAATCCGTGTTGCAACATGGGGAGTCTACCCCTAAGCTAGGTTCAACTTGGGATATGTATATGGAATAACCATGTATGGGGAATATGGCCATGGCTATATTTACACCAGAGATTCCTAATTAATTGCTTTGTGGTGAGAACTTACCTAGACAGATGCAGAATTTAGAGGTACCTCTAATCTGGAGCTCCAGGTCGTGGCCGACATGTCCAGCAGCCAGGTACCTCCCTCCCCACCTCAACTTGGCTGCGTTCCAAGTACCTACTGACGCTCGTAGTTTGGTGGGCTGCGACGCGTCTTCCGCAACCAAGACGCGTAAATTGCTTTGAAAGCTCCAAGCCACCATCTCAACCCACGACCACAAACGCAACTCGTGTCTCGCAGCAAGCACCATTTATCATGGAGCTGCCAGAGGGAGGACATGACATTGTCCATCCCGAAGTTAGAGCACACATTACTAGTCTTATTTCCGCTGTTAGTTTGCGCTTCACACCCTTTGCCCAACCCTGCTAATTTAATGCTTCTAGCTAGGAGGAATCAGCGCCGATGATGACGGCCAATATCAGCTTGGTGACGATGCCCTCGAGGTACTGCGCGATATCAAACGATGGATTCGATTCTACGACGAAAAGACGAACCGAATGGATGTTGCGCGATGCCTCTACCAAGGCAACCTTATCCAGGGCGACCTGATACCCATCCTCGCAAAATGGCCGGAAGAATCCATGGACAACAAGTTCAAGAGCAGGATCGCTCTGTCCTGCTTCGAAGTCATGGTCCCATTGACGTGGCCCATTGAACAGGACAAGGAGAAGATGACCGTCAACCATCACAGACACATACCTGTCCTTCAGCTCGCCCAGTTACAGTATAAAAGCGCCATCATCAACTTCGACAGCACCAGACTCTTGCACTCGGCTGTCCGCTCCGCACTACCGTCTATGGCTATTCCCATTGGCGATCGAACCCCAAGAGACCAGGGCATCATCAAACTCATCCTCTTCTTCCTGCGAAATATCGCCATGATTGAACCCTCGCCGAGCATCAAATTCGATGGCGACGAGACACAGATTTCTCGTTCCGCTACAATAGACGCGTTTTCCTATCAAGACGTCTTCATCATCTTGCTCACCATTGCTTCCAATGTGGGCGAGGACTTCAGAACCGAGGACACAACAGTCATGGAGATTATCTATCACCTCGTAAAGCAAGTCGATATCGACAAGCTCTTCATGAGCGAAAGCCAGCTGAACAAGGTAAAGGCAGTGGAGCTGTCTGACCTCATGAAGAAGGAGTCCGCCACGCTCCGGGCACACAACACAAATGCCCCGACAAGACATAACCGCTTTGGAACCATGGTCTGGGTTAAGCGGGACGACGGCAAAACGAAACCTTTCTCGGGACAAGAAGCGCTGGCTGACGGAGCCACTAGAGACAAGAAAATGGACGATAGCAAGACATTCCGCCCTCCTCGCCGCGGTAGAAAAGAAGATAAAAGCGAAAAGGACTTGGGTCTCCCGACACCCCTTACCCCAAGCGCTGCCAAGCAACTTCGCTCATTTGTGGAGGAATTCCTCGACTCGGGCTTCAATCCTTTGTTTCTACATATCCGCAAATCTATTGACCGAGAAGCACCACACGTCCTGGACTTTCATCGACGACAATTCTTCTACCTCATTTCCTGGTTCCTCGAGGCCGAACGAGGGCGTCGCAAACAGAACAAGGCTGCGAATAAAAAGGCCGGCGAGGAAGTTAGCAGTTTCAACCTGATAGCGAGTGTATTGAACCAAGAAATGTTCATCACGCTCAGCAAGGGCTTACACGAGTCCTTTGATCACAAAGATTGGCACTCACTCTCTGCAGCAATGCGCTGCTTCACCCAGATTCTGCTCACAATTCAAGAAATGATAGATGAGGGAACGGAAGACGACCAGGAAATTGCAGACAACGTTTTGAGCCGTCTCTTCTACGAAGAAACGACGCACGATGTGATTGCCAACATCGCAAGAACGTACAAGGATCAAGGCTTCGAGTATCTCGATGCCGCCACTGAACTAGTGCATCACTTCTTGCGGGTTTTGGAAGCCTATTCCAAACAAAATGCCGATATGCAGATCCGATCCAGGAAACGAGCTCGCAGAAAGAAGAGAGCCGAGACTCAACAAAATGGCGGGGACGATGAAGATGATGAAGACTCTGGACAAGATGGAGCGGCTGTAGAGCGAACATCAAAAGAACGAAAATTCGACTTCGCCCGATTCACCTCCCGGTTTACACCTCAAGGTGTGGTGGATACCTTCATGGCATTTACCAAATACTACCGTGAACTCAATGACGTGCAGTTAAAGCGAGCACATCGATATTTCTATCGGCTGGCGTTTAAGAAAGAGCTGAGTGTCATGGTCTTTCGAGTCGATATGCTTCACTTGCTGTCAAACATGGTCAGGGGCCCAGACGCGCTGGCAAAGTCCTCAAAAATGTTTAAGGACTGGGAAGAGCTGAACAAACAGCTATTTCGTAAATGTTTCAAGAAGATTCGCGAACGTCCCGAGCTGATTATCGAAATGCTCTTCAGCAAGGACCAGGCAGCTGCTCACTTCCTCGAGTACGGCTTTGCTCAGCAGACTTCTGCAGCGCGCGGCAAACCTCGACCAGCTGCCGAGCTCGTGTTCAAGCATACTACTGAGCACGACCAACAAGTTGGCATCGCTGTTGGCGCTTTACTCGATAAGAATGAATCAGATCATATTCAGTGGCTCAAGAATGTCATCTCAACTGCAGGAACTGAGCGCCGCTCTTGGAACAATGCGAATGATGAGCTTTTGGCAATAGAAACTCTCTCTGATGCTGAAATGCCCGAGACGCAACAGGAACCGAAGCCTCCACCCATAATTACAGTTCGACCCGACAGCCCCGAGAGGCGAACAGCCATGTTCAAGAACCCGTACCTGCGTCTCTTGATGGATCTCACTGGCATAAGGCTTCTGGGCCCAGCAGCGGAAGAGACGGCAGAATCGGTCTGGATTATCCCGGCTGAAATTACCGCTAGCCAGCTCAAAGATGCACTTCACTATATCAACCAAGCAGAATTCAATCCACCGACCTTTGAAGATGGAACTTCTGCCGAGCAGCAACTGAAACGCAAGACAGCACCTCGTAAGAAGGCAGCCTTCGATGACGAAGAGGCGGATGACGGCGACGACCTTGACGACTTCTTGGACAATGACATCATGTTCCCTGCAGGCGGCCCTACGGCGCGAAATGCAATTGATGAATCCAAAAAGCCCAAGAAATCTCGGAAGAAGCGAAGCGTAGTCCAGGAAATTGATGACCAGGAGCGTGAAGACCGTGCTCGGAAGCGACGCGACAAAGAGAGAGAAAAGGCCCGCAAGATCAAATCTGCCCTCTACGTCAAAGACGGAGACGATGAGTTTGATTCTGACGAGGACGAAGAATTCTTTGCTCGTGAGCGCGCCATCAAGGCTCGAGCAGAGCAGGCAGCCAAGTCTGCCGTGCATGGCCTCGCCAACGACGACAGAAACGTCCTTGCGCGCCCCGCCGCAAAGCGCAAGTCAGAGGCGCTGCTGGACGACAGCACCGATGGCGAAGATGACGTCGACGATGCCGGCTCCACGCAGCGAATTCTGAGCAGCCACTCTGTGGCGGACGCCAGCGAGACTGACGATACCGAGGTGGGTGGCAGCGGCGCGGAGAGGCCAAAGCGACCAAGGCTGAGTCCGGACACGGACGACGAAGAAGACGCGGCCATGGATGACGCCGAGCCCGAAGATGACTCGACGTCGAAACCTGCAGCTGGGCCGGACGAGGACGGCGATGATGTTGTCGCAGCACCGACGTCTACGGCGCGCAAGTCACGCGTCAGAGGCGGCTTTGTCATTGACAGCGACGACGACGAGTAAAAGGATGTGCATTCTCATTTCTAGGTTCGGGTACCAAGTGCTAGTTTGCGGCGTTCTGGGGATATCATCATACTTTCTTCATTAGCGGGATGTTCTTGATTGCAGGACAGCATTCGGACTTCATGAGACTTGGTTGTATCAAATATCATGGCAAGTTACAATATGAATGACGGCACTTTAAAAGCTATCCTGCATTATACCTAAAAAATATAGTATATAAATGTGAAAGAAAATTACGCATAAATGTGGCATAATATGATTTGTAAAAATGACCTGCTAAAACAAGCCTCTACGCCTATATTAGCTCCGCGGCATGTCGCCCATCTCGGCTATGCCCTCCCCGTTTCTTGCGCGGACAAGCCGGAGCTCGCAACCCCGCCGTCGGGTGCCGAGCTAGGTCTGCGGCGACGGAACGCGCTGCCCGGCGGCGGGGAGACGTCGCGGGCGTCGCCCTCTACCACGCCGCCATCGCGAGGACTCACGCGAGGCTGCCATGTGGCCTCCCCCTTCTCGCCCTGCGGCGGCATCGAGTCCCCGCCAGGCTCGGAGCTGCCGCCGCCCCAGGAGCCGCCGATGCCCTCCATGGTGAAGGCGGACGCGGTGGGCGCGTCGAGGCGCGCGAGCTCGTCGGGGTGGAAGAGCTGGGGTAGGACGAGCGCGCGGACGGGGATCAACGCGAGGATGAAGACGGGGAAGCCGACAGCGGCGACGGTCTGGGTGATGGCAAAGGTGGCGGCGAACGCGACGAGCTCGACGGTGACGAACCACCAGACGGCGGCGCGACGCTTGATGGCACGCAGCGGGGCGTCAGCGGCGGGCGGGCGGGCGTGGCGGTCGCGGGCGAGGAAGGCGAGCTTGGCGGTGATGCCGTTGTCGGCGAGGGCCTGGACGCCCATAATGAAGAAGAGACCGGCGAGGACGGCTTGCGGGACGAGGTGCAGGACGACGAGCAGCGGGCCGGTCATGGTGCCGAGGGTGAGCAGGCCCTGAGCGAGGTTGGAGGCACGCTGCTCGACGACGTGGGTAGCGATGGTGGTGGCGGTGGTGGCCTCCGGGGGGATGAGGTCGCTGCTGTCGTTGTCGTTGTCGTGGGGCTTGGCGGATTGCGTGACGCAGAGTGAGGCGGTGTGGAAGGGGGCCTGCGGGATGAGGCCGTTGGGAAAGGGCAGCCCGAGGAGGCCAGCGACGCCGGTAGTGAGGCCGAGCAGGAACAGGTCCCAGTGGAAGCCGGCGGGCTTGCGGAGGGGGAACTCGCTGCCCTGGGCGATGAGGGAGGAGACTGGCCGGGGTAATGTTGTTAGCTGGTGAGGCATGGGATGAGATGAGGCTGACGTGTTCTTACCGTTGTGGTCAAACCAAAAGAGAATGGTGAGAAGGATGGCAAAAGGCAGCGCGGTAAAGACGTCGCCAACGCCGAGCTCCCAGAACCGGACCAACCAGCTGCGCTCCGTGGTCGGCTCAAAGGCGATGCCGGTCGGCAGCCGCTGCAGCGGGACCTCGCGCATGCGGCCGATGTGGACGAAGCCGGTGAAGAAGATGAGAGTGAGTGGCGTGCCGTAATCTTTCAGGAAGACGCGGACCTGGTGGCGGAAGAGGTTGCTGTCGGCGACCATGCTGCAAGCGTACGCGACGAGGAAGACGAGCAGGGCGACGACGAGGGACAGGTAAAAATCCGGGCCGTGGCCGAGGCGGTCAAGTACCTGGACGCCCTTTTGCAGGTAGATACAGGCGACGTAGAAGCCAAAGATGTCGCAAGGGAAACGTGTGACCCAGCGAAGCCAGTTGCACGAGTTGGTGACGGCGAGGATCCAGTGGAGGATAAGAGACCATCTGGGAGGGCGGTGTTAGAGTCCCAGGGCAAGAGAGAGACGGATGAGGGTTCGTGGAAAGATAGGGGAAGGGCGAGAGAACTTACATGCCGATCCAGGCCATGAAGCCGAGGTAGTCGACGCCGGTGGGATGTATAATGTCGTAGACGGTGCTGTGTGGTCAAGTTAGCGCCAGCGGCTCTCAGTTTAGACGCGGGCATCCCGAACATGACGTACTAGTTGAAGACGGTAATCGGTCCCGTAACGCCGACAATGACAAGCGGCTGCGCAGCCGCCAGGGCAAAGACGACAGCTCCGAGGACGGAAGAGAGCAGCACCTCGTTGACGCCGTAGCTGGACGCCGTGCTCTGGAACATGTCGAGGGAGAAGGCTAGCGCGGGCAAGATGCTGGATGAAAGGTCAGGAGGCATTCTCTGACGGGAAAGCTATGCAGTAAATCCAAAAATGGCTTCGTCTTACTTGGCAAAGTACATGTAGACCGTGGCCGGGACGACGCGATAGTCCCAGGCGTCTGTCCAGTCGCTCACGTAGTATGGCCCACGCCGGTGGACATCGTTGACCATGCCGCGAAATAGGTGAATGCGCCACCATGCCGTCTTGCCCTTGGATTTCTTTGCTGCTGGCGATGAAGGTGTTTGAAATGTCCTCTGCCGCTCCGTCACCGGGAGGACATTAGCATCCTCAGGGCGTTGGGCACTGGTGGTGGCGGGCATGACGTTGGTGCAAACGGAAGCTGTCGCGAGGTTGGATGAAGAAAGCCGGCAAAATAATAGAGTCCAAATTGATAAGAAATATTAGAAGAAGAATAATGATGATGAAGTGCAGTTGGCGAGATTTTATTGGACTTCTTTCATTAAATAGGTTTGACGCTGGAAACAAGCTGCATCATAGCCGGTTTGTTCTCATCTGCGACTTTTTGCTGGAAGAAAGCTTCTTCTCCCGACCTCGCGCATCGATCGGTGTGACTCAAAAGCGGGATCAGTCCACTCATAGAGCTCCAATTGAGTGCTTTGATTAGACAAGGGAACGATATTGAGTGGCCGGCGTGATGAGATGAGAAGGGCGATGGAGATGAACTATGAGCAAATGTGGTTTCCAAAACCTGGAATGGGCCCAGGTGCCAAGGTACAACCTACTGTACTAGCCAACCTTGATTCAACGTTAAGGTATTGACTAAAGGGCCAACAACGCGGCAAGCTGCTATGGACAGTTTACATGGCTATTGTACACTCAATAATTGATAGTACGTAAGCGCAATGAAGAGAATTATTCATCTTTAAATGTCAAAAATATCTAAAATGCTATATCGACTTTGTGCGCGGAGTAAAACAATAGGGGCCTCATTCGTAGCTGCATATCTCGACAGAGCTCAAGGGCGGTTTTTTTTTTCAATCTACTTCTCTACTTAGCAATGCAGCGATGAGTCAATATGGGAAATTTCTGAAATATTTATCAACCGGCTGGTACTTGGAGTTTCGTGACGCCTCCGATTCCTGGTAGGCATACTTTCACCCCGCCAAAGTGGGGGAAGCCTGTCGCGCACCACTGGCCGACCACATTTGCTTTTCGGCGCTTGTCAGTGACTCAGTTCATTCCATTTCAAATCTGCATCTTTAGAAAAACAACTACAACCCAACGCCGAACGCGAATTTCGAGATCGTGCTGAATTCGACTCGCAAACTTCAGTTAGATAAAGCAAAGCGCAGTAGACGTGTTGCACAAATTACCGCCTGCCGAGATCAACGCGTGCGCGAAAGCAATCTTCTCCAACCCCGCGATACAGCCCACGACCGACGGATAGCACCTCAACCATTTCCAGTCCCGCCATCTCTTACATGTCGAAAGAAGGGGAAAAGCCTGCTGCAGGCGCAGGTGTAGCGGCTAGCTCATCGAAGCCACAACAAGCCGATCAGTCCAATGGCCAACCCAAAGATGCTCCCGTCGCCGGACCCTCAGCGGCCCCTGGCGAGAAGAAGCTCTCCGGCGCGGAGCTGAAGAAGAAGGCAAAGGAGGAAAAAGCTGCGCGCCGCATGCAAGCAAAGGCGGCACAGACGGCTGCCGCACCACCAGGCGCGGCGGCTGCGGCGGCTGCTGCTGCTGCGGCGGCCAAGGGCAAGGGCAAGCAGGACGGTGGCGCGGGAGCTCACGGTAGCAAGACGGCATCTAAGGCGGCGTCGACGGCACCGCCCAAGTCCAAGGCGACGGTGCCCGAGTGCTTCAGCCACCTCTCCATGGCGAAGCGCATGAAGATTACCCAGGCGGACAAGGACGTGCATCCAGTCATCCTGCAGCTGGGCCAGCAGATGAGCACCTTTGCCATCTCCGACAGCATCACACGAGCAGAGGCCACACTTCTCGCCTTTAAAAAGGTGCGAACACACCGGCCACCCGCGGAGTCCCTTTATGAATCCTCTTTTGCTCACTGACTCCTCTGCAGGTCATCGAATCGTACACAACCCCCCACGGTGCCACCCTCTCGCGCCACCTGACCTCCGTCGTGCTAAAGAACCAGATCGAGTACCTGACCGCCTGCCGGCCGATGTGCTTCTCTATGGGCAACGCCGTGCGCTGGCTGAAGCTGCAAATCTCAAAGGTCGACATCGACCTGCCCGACGCCGACGCCAAGAAGCAGCTGTGCTCCGCCATCGACGCCTTCGTCCACGAGCGCGTCACCCTCGCCGACCTCGTCATCGTCGAGACCGCCGCAGCGCTCCTCACCGACGACGACGTCGTCGTCACCTACGCGCACCACCACCTCGTCGAGCGGGCGCTGCTGCGCGCCCGCGCCGTCCACGGCCGCCGCTTCCGCGTCGTCCTCGTCGACGACCCCTTTGAGCGCGTCGGCCTCGCCCACGCCGAGCGCCTCTCCGCCGCCGGCGTGCCCGTCGCCTACTCCCACGACCTCGGCGCGCTGCGCGCCAACCTCCAGGGCGCCACCTGCGTGCTCGTCGCCGCCGAGGCCATGTTCAGCAACGGCGCCGTCTACGCCCGCGCGGGCACCTCGGACATTGCCGCCGTCGCCCGCGACCTCAACCTGCGCGTCGTGGCGCTCTGCGAGAGCATCAACTTCACGGAGCGCGTCTCGGCCGACGCCCTCACGTACAACGAGATCGACCCGGAGCGCAACTCGGGCGAGGCGTTCCGGCTGCTCTTCGACACCACCACGGACAAGTTCATCTCCATGGTCGTCACGGAGCTCGGCAATAGCTCCGCCAAGTCTGTGCCGGCGATTCTTAGGAAGCTGGAGGAGCTGTAGAGGGCTCAAGTTTGTTTGTTTAGTCTTGCTTGCCGTTGCAATGCCGGAGTTGGACGCTTGAAAAAGAAGAGTAGGAAGGACTTGTATAGATCCAAGGACTCATGAATTATTTATACCCACCAGCAGCGTGTCTCGTGTTGGCCGATGTGAGAAGATTAATGACGGCAGCGGTTCAAGTAAAACAAAGAAAATGTTGGTCAATTCCGACAGGACAGCTTTTCTCAGCCTCCGTCTGTCTACACTGGAAAAAATAACCCCCCATCAGTGATATATACAGATTGCGTCCCCCCACGTATTCTCCCAGCACCCGCGCTTAAAATGAAGGAGTTTTTACAAATGCCAGTCCATCCACTGCGCATCATCGCTCTGATCCTGCTCCTCTTCTGTCCCTTCTATACTCCAAGTCTGCTCATCTCAACAGTAGGTGTCAACTTCCGCCGGCATCCGCGCCACGCAGGCCTCGTTCGTCGTTTTGGGCTTTTTCTTTTTTTCGTCGTGCTCCTTACTCGGTCGCCTCCGCCGCCTCGCGCTCGGCCTGGCGGGCACGCTTCTGCAGCAGGAACGCCTTGCGCTCGCTCAGCATCTTTGACTGGCGGTCGTCGACGCCCTGCAGCCAGTAGCCGAAGCTGGCGCCGCCGAGCGCGTACGCCGGGTACGCCCACAGCGAGGAGCGGTTGAAGAAGGGGCGCATCTCGATGCCGACCTGCCAGAAGCGGACGGCGAGGCCTATCGTTCGAAAAAGAAGATGGTTAGAAATCGTTAGAAAAGGCAGAGAGAACCTTGCATCGCAATTGTCCCCGAGCTGAGTGGTTGCCAGCACAAGTCAAGTGTTGTCGTCAAGGAGCCAATTCAGCTGAAAAGTATCCTCGAAGAGAGACCTCCATTCCCATCTTTATCCACCCAGCTCATCGGTGCCGTGTATCTCGATAATCGGGGGAGCAAACGTACCGAAGCAGCTCCAGAACGCGATGCGGTGAACCATGGTGGGCAGCCTTGACACGACTTCGGTATGTTTATCAAGTACACCAACCAGACGCTGGGGTTTTGTCAAGCGATATTTCGTACGTTCGGCGGCGCTCGGGAGCGGGAGACCGGGTCAATTGGTGTGGGCGGAGGTCGGATTCGATAACTGGAGAATGGGTCGTCGTTCTGGGTGAGGCTTTCTTGGGATAAGACTAAACAGCTCGTCGCTGATTGGATCACGTGGAGCTGCACGTGACGGATCTGGACATCAACTCCAGTACAGGTCAGAATATAGCAGACGGAATCTTGCGAAGAAGAAAGAAAATTGCATTAGGAGGAAATAAAGTTCGCACCTGTTGTTGGGAAATTCTGACAACAAAAATTGTTTCCTTTCGCTCTCAAATCTGGTTGCGTGGCTGCGCTTCACCCAACTACCAACCACTTACACAGCTTATGAGGCAAAACAATGCTAACTTATCGCTGTGTGCTTTGTACTCTATTTAATGGTCTAAATTACGATTCTCGTGATAAAACGGATTTAATCACGTCTCATTCGCATGCCTTTCTAGAAATGCAGCCTGCGAGTTCCCTATTGAGCCCCTCGCGCCCGCTGTGAAATCTTTGTGAGCATGCGGCTCATGTACTGCTGGATAAACGCCTCTGTATAGAAGCTGTGGCTCGCATTGTGCGGCTCGACCAGATTGTGAGCCAGCTCGTGCGCAATCACAACCCACCACCAGGTCGCCGCGTCCGCCCAGGCTGCGCCGCCCTCCTGGGGACCGACTTGCGCGGCGTGCAGCTGCAGGAAGAAGCGTAGGTTGCAGAAGATGCTGCCGCCCGTGTTGAAGGCAATCGTACTGCCCTTTTCGTCATAGTAGATATGTAACACTTTCGAAGACAGCCCATACACTTGGGCCAAGTCTATCAGCAGAAAGGAGAAGCTGTGAACAGCGTCACGGTGGTCGGCTAGAAACTGCTGTGCGTCGACTGACAGATGGCGCGCGGTGTAAACCTTGAGTCCATTGGGCGCGTTGCTCACGTATTGGAGATCACTGCCCGGGACGGCGTCGCAGTAGGCGGCCTGCTCCTTGACCTCATTTACCTTGGGCTGGGAAAAGAGGGTGTTGGAGTCATGCGCGCGCGTGGCATTGACTGCATTGGCGAGATTCTGTTGCACCACCGCAGGGCTAGTTACCTTGCCAGTATCCAGCCCACCATTGGAGCTTTCTTTGAGGCCAGTTTCCCTTTCTCGGGTTTCTGGACCGGAATAAGGGGGTGGCTGGTCCCCTGAAAGAGAATCGAAGCCCAGGCGCTTTGTCAAATCGGAAAACAAGCCCCTGCTCTTTTTGCCAGTGTTAGCTGGCTCAGGAGCATTGTCTTCAGGAGATGACCAAGCACCAGGGAGTGTCGTCTTTGCCTGAGCTGGGGTGCTGGGGATGGCAGGTGCTGCTTCAGCAGCCGCTGGTTCCGGGATCAAGCTACGCGTCGCCTGACTTACCTCGCGCTCGCGCATGATCTTCTGCTCTTCCGCCAGTGCTTTGCGTTTCTCCTCTTCGGCCATTCGAGCTTCGGCTGCTTTGACACGTAGAATTCGATCCACGTTGTGTCCTCTGTCCCGTAGAGCGTAGAGATCGAGGGTTAGAAATGGCTCAAAGAAGAGGTACGCATGTTGATTCGGCCGGTTCAGCAGCATTTGGCAAAGAGCTTGTCCAACTTGGTACATGTCAGGTTTCGAATCATCTGCGACGTAGAGAATCCATGCTCCTTTGGTGTACGAGCCGGCGGCGGAGCGACGTTCGATGTGTGACTGGCTCTGACCCTTGAGGGTTCTTCGAAGCGCAACAGAGCGAACCACTTCGACAAGCAGATTTGAGTCCAGCCACTTAGCATCGTGCTTCATCACATCTCGTCGGTAGTGAGTGTATTCGTGGAGGAAGAGCTTCGATCTTTCGATCACATGCTTTCGCAGGTGCTGGCTGATTGAATCCTTCGTTGCGCGACCACCAATTCGAAGATCTTCCTCTACCATTGAGCTCAGCTTGTGAGCACCAAGCTGTATGTAAAAGTCCTCAAGTAAGTCCTCTTCGGGGGCACAAAGAAGATGGTCTTTGAATAGGCGGTGACTGACAATATCATCGACCACGACAACTTGACCAGCAGAGGCAAATTGATACTCCTTCACGGGCTCCACCTCGTCTTCGAGATCGATAAGATTCTCTTTCGTCGGAACTGCGGCTTCCCTGTAAGCAGGCAAGAATTTGGAGCTCCGCATCTTTCCCCAAAGAGCCTTGTTTCGCTGCAAGTTGTGGCTCTCCTCTGCCAGGGACTTGAGAAGATTCAGATATTTCTCAATGTTCCCAAGTGCAGAAAGCAGCCGCGCTGGCTCGCTACTTGCCATTTCTGCGACCTCCATCTTTGTTGGCTCATTTCTGGCACCGCACTTGAATAAGAATGCATTGGCATTATTGCCAAAGTCCACAAAATCGAAAATGGCCTCGTATGTTGGCGAGCTGCCTAAATATGTTTGGCCGGGTGTGATGAAAGTGACGCTCCTTTCTCTCTTCTCTTTCATGACACTATTGTTCGCGCGTGAGATAGGCACGATAGGAGCGTTGCGAATTCTGAAGACATTCTTGTCACCGAGCTCACTGAGACGGGATGCAAAGTACCCAAATACGGTCACGGCCGATTGGTGGTCCTGCGGTGGGCTCGCAAGGAGGCGACTAACACACTCGAGCATCGGGGGATCTCTCGCGACACCGAATTTGTTGGCGTGGTCGTGCAGATCTTGTCTCAGCACGGAAAAGCCAAGCACTGTGACGTCCGGATTCGTGAAGCAGGCCGATGGCATGACGAGCTCACTGCTGTCCTTTAAGGGAATGATTGCCTTGCGGCAGGTGCCCAAATCAAAAGCGCCGTACATGTTCATATGATGATTGGTAATGAAGTAGGCCATGGCATTCGCCCGAAGGGCTGCATCCTTGGAAGCCATCATTTCTACAAGCTCGGGGACGGAAGGATATGTTCGCAAGCCCAAATTCTTCAAAAACAACGCCTCGGCGCTGTTGCTGCGGTAGCTTCCAGGAGGGCCTGGCCATTGTATTATGGGGAGTTTGAGGGTCCGTAGAGCTGCTTGCGGCTCGAATAGCTCCGAGACTTTGTACAGAGCATCGGTGCCCTTTGTTGGCTCCATACCCTTCGGCCCAGCTTCCGCGGGGCATATCTTTGATTGCTCGAGCTTCTTCATGTCCGCAGAAGGAATGTCCGCCTGAACCGAGGTGAGATATTTGATAAGTTCCATGTGGCTCCATTTCTGCAGCCCTCCCTTTTCTGGCGTGTTCAGCAGCCTGGTGAATATTGTCTCCAAATCAAGTGTTTTGCGGACTCCAATGGCGACCAGGAACTTTTCTTTGACTTTTTCGCAGCCCTGAATAACGGGTAGGTCATCAAACAACTTGACAGTTGGAAAAAAGGACTCTGCCGGGTACTTCATACCCAGCTTTGTTGGCATGACGGTCCTATTCTGTACCAAGGTCGTGAGGGTGTTGCGGCTCGCGTTGCTCAGTGTATCCCAATTCTTGGATAATATGACCAAGACTTGGACGGCGAATTTCGCAGACTTGGTAAGACTCTCCTCCTCGGATCTGCTATTTGAGGTTTCAATCAGAAATTTCAGCCAGGGGACGATCTCTAGAGGTTCCCATCCCAAGGCCTGCAGCTCGGAAGGTGTCGACTTGACAATAAATGAGAATGGTATCGTCGTCGGCGGGATCGGCATATTGGCAGGTATCCGTGCCAGGCTATGGTAGTTGGTGATGCTTCCCAGTGCTATCACTTCGCCACTGCCGCCCTCCTCTATGGCGGCAACAGCCACGTCGAGCAAAGCCGAGCGACTACCAGGATCCAGCTCCCCGCTCACGGTCTTCTTTCCCAGCCAGGTGATTAAGCTGATAACTTGCGCCTTGCTCAAGGCCTTGACTTCGAGCTCCTTTTTTATATCTCCAACATTGATTGGATTCAGTAGACCAAAATCAATCAGCTTCTTGACGAAGGGGGCGTCAGACAGTTGCTTTGGTACCACTGGAATGCTATCGACAAAAGCACTGAGCTCCTCGATTCCAAGCCGGACATCCGACGTTTGCAGCACTCCTCTTGTGGAATACATTTCGATAGAAGCCTTCTTGAAGCAGGTCCAGAAAGCTTCTTCCATGATCTGGCCGACCTGGGGGCTTGGGGTGGAATATGCAAAGGTGTATGTGCCAAGTATATGAAGTGCTTCGGGCAAATACTTCGAGACAACCTCGTCGTCAACTTTGACACCTGTGCCGGCGCTCCCCATGACCTTTTTGTGCAGGTCGGCCATTTCATTGGCAAATGCAAGTCTCGTAATGATTCCAGCAGCTCGCAGAAGCTCAACATTCCAAGTTCGGACCCATCTTGCATTCAAATCTATTGCTTCACGCTCTACCGTAGGAATTACAGATGGGGCGGATAAATGCATTCCGGCTCCCGTAGTCTGCATGGTGGGAAAGCCAATGAAGATGCGTCCGCCAGGCTTTTTGTTGGGCAGGACCGAAGCGAAAACGTCGGTGGCATCGCCTGTGCCATCCTGCACCGAGGCGGCCTGGGAGGCAGCGGCTTCGTCGAAGGAAGCTGTCAAAATTGACAGCCTCGTTTTGCTTGGCGGGGGTTTCTTGGTGGCCCGTTCCAGTTCAGAGGCAAAGGAAGCAGTAATACTGGTTTGCACGTTGGCTGAGGTGGCGCGAAGAAAGATGGACGAAGTTTTGACTTTAGTGACATCCTCAGAGATGAGACTTTGCGCCTTGTTTTCATCTGCAGCAGCTCTGGACTTTGCGTTAGGAGTTTTTGCGGTTAGACGAGAAAAGAAGCTGCGTAGGGAAGAAGACGCCTCGTTTGTGCTGAACGTCTCTGCTGCCTTGGAACTGGCGCTTTGCGGTTTCCAGCCAATAACGCTCATGAACGAGGCGTCGATTTGCGTGCTTGTTCTGCCCACCCCAACCACCTTCATCAAGCCCTCCTTGGTCTGGGGCACAAGATCTCTAGGTAGACTCAGGTCGACAACGGGAGAGGTCTTTTTCTTGAGGGAAAGGATTGTGTAGTCGTCGATTTTGAATTCTATGTTTTGTAGCGCAACAAAGGTCAAGCTAGTAGCCAGAAACTGGCAAACCGACAAGAGGTTTGGCATGGGTGTGGTGGTGTTTCTATAGTCGAGCACGAAGGTTGTAGAGTTGCTAGTTTGTTCCTCGGGAAGCTTGGACTTTTTGGTGAAGAGAGAGTTTCCTTTCCAGTAAAATGCCATTGCTTCGCTGCCAGAGCTGACGAATGGCTCTTCGCAATCGGCAAAGACGCTGTAGAAGCCGACGCCAAAGGCGCCGATCTTGGTTTCGTCGGGATTTCCCTCTGCGATTCGCTTCAGACGAGCCCAGTCTTTCGGAGTAAAGGACTGGCCATCGTTGCTAACGACGAGTCGTCGCAGCGTGTGGTTTGCGATGACATGTTTCAGCTGGTCCGATCGGTCGGTCGTGTTGGGCATGGGGACACTTGTCGAGGGCAGCGTCTCCCAGGTGATGGTGACGGCGGTGGCCTGCGCGTCCGCCGCGTTCTGTATCAACTCTCGAAGCGTCGTCCATTCTCCAGAGTAGCGTGCCAGGACCTTGTCGATGAGGGCCCTGGTGTCGACGGTGACGGCTTCCTCGTCCTCGGCATTACGGAGGGCAGCGGCTCGTAAATTCGAATAATCCATTTCGCTAGGCTATGTTATGCAAGGAAAAGAGCAAAAAGCAAAGAGAGGCGTGCTTCATATGGTCATGATTCGTGACGTGTCGAATGCATTCGGGGGGTTCGGGGGGCGGACAGGCAGCCTGGTGATGACGCAGGGGCTCTTGTAGATTCGATGTGGCGAAGTATTCGTCGTGACCCTGGCGTCGGGCGGAGAAGGAGCTGACGATAAGCGTTGTGGCGAGGCGTACTGATTATGCGAGCAATTGGAATTGGGGCTGAAGCAAAGTCTAGCAGCGATTTGCCTTGTGCCCGAGACGCCGTAGATCGTGAAGGGGTGGATGTTGACAAACGCCGACTCGCTTTGTCCAGCCGTGTGTGTCAGATAGTCAGAAGTTAGAGTGCTGAGCCTGAGCCAGCGGTAGGTCCCGCTATAGCACAGCGTGGTTGCCACTGTGTCACGCATACCGCAAGATGCTTCAAAACTCGGTGTATTTCTATCCCAAAAAAAAAAAAAAACCTACCATAAGGATAATATCTGTTTACCTTTGAAAAAAAAAAAAGTTTAATATGTTATTAAGTTGTCAAAAAGTACACGATTAGGTTCACCGGTGAAGACCAGAACCCCCCTTCTCCTCATTAGACTTATGTACCATACATAACATAGACACGCATACTATGGCCACGCGATGGATACACGATGACAGCAACTGACAACCAAGCCATCGTATGAAGAGCCGGTTCGTCTTACAGCAAGATTCAAGACACACTCAATTAGCGCCCGTGGAGCTGCTGCGGCGCACGACATGTCTCCGTCGACAGTATCATTGCTCTCGCTGTGTGTGCCCTGTCTCGCTATGTTTGGCGCTGTGTCTCGCTTGGTAAGACATTAGAAGTGGCATGTCGTAATGACTGTTGCGCAAGTGCTCTATAAAGTAGGCATCGTACCCTGTGTTTCTCATCCCACAGCTCTCCTCCTTCTCCACCTGTCTGTTTGATTTTCTGCACTTGAGTCTCATTCGTCATGAAATCCGTATCCTTGCTTCTTCTTTCTGCTTCAATGGCGCGCGCCATGACAGGCCAACGATGCAAATGCTCCGACACAACCATTTCATCAGACTTAGATTGGACCAGAAGAGAGTGTACCAAACTCAACAAAGAAATGCAGTGGTGTTACGGCCAGGCAGAATCGTATTGCGCGTCTGGAAGCAGCGCTCAGCAGTTCAAGCAAGACTGTTACAACAGGCCAGGTACGGGCTGCTATGCAGATAATTGTTAGGTATGCCCACATTACCTTTCTTAAAATACCCTTGGATTTAACGAAGTGACTGACACGGCCAGACGGATGCAGAAGCCGGAGGAAGCAAGACTAGTTCGTCTGCAACTCCGTCAGCCGCGGGGTCCCGTGTCCGGGGTCCCAAATTCCGCGAGTTTCCTCGCTCATCGTGGGCGCAGTTGGCAGTTTCGAACATGTCACGCAACTGCCGACCTAGACGTTGGCGTCTGGACGAAGAGATGTCACCCGCGACTGGTCATATTCCAGGCCCTGTGTCGCGTGGTGCTATGTAGATCGGGAAACAGTATTTGGATGTATGCAGGATACAGCAGGCTAACTTGTCCGTGGCATATTCTGTACATACATACAACCGCAATAATACGATAAGATCGATGAGTTCCGAATTTAGCCCTAGCCTCAGGCCCAGGCGGCACATCGGCTCCCCGGCCCCCAGCCCCCCGGCTCCCCGCAATCGTTTACTCTTTAGTTAGTTAGTATGGTTTCGAAATAATTAGTGTGATGGTGAGGACTGGCAATTGCTGGCGCCGGCTTTCCATCATCAGGTCACATCTCGAGACCGCAGAGAGAGACAAAAAAGACATGGCCACAAAATGCCTCGAATACAAATGAATGATTGGCTTGTGGACAGCCATTGATATTCTGCCTCCTTGCGGCTGAGCTCCCGGCGCAGACATAACATGGGTTTCTGGTCTTCGTCTCTCTCGGAACTTGTCAAGAAACTTGTGGCTTTCCGTCTTCATGGATGCTGTATTTATGAAATGCACATCCCCAGGTTTTTCATGGTGCAAAAATTCACATTGCTTGCCGCATATCCCGAGCAGCGTTGTGAAAATGAAGACGGCCAACAAACGCCCTCTTACTGATGATGACTCGTTCTGGGCTCCTGGAACCGTCCACCTCGAAGATTGTAAGTGGCCATCAACTCCCTGGACTGACACGATGCATTAGAAATGTAGTTGATGCAACTGACTGATATAACCTACCTCACCTTAGTGCCGATGCTCTACAGGTCGCTTTTGCCATGTTCGCGATGGATGACACGGCGAACAAGGTCCTCGAGGCTGGTGGTGAGCCCCGGATCCCGTCCCTGGGTTGCAGAACCTCATCTCGGACTTGGATGGTTGCGATGCGTTGAAGCGGCTGTCGGTGCTGAACCAAAAGCGAAGGGAAATATCGGAGGCCTGGCACCGAATTTGGACCACGCACGAAATTGATGCATTCATCGGTCCGGTAGGTAGGTCCACGGCCGTGGAGCACGATGAGTATACGCTGCCGGCGTATACTGTGCTGCTGAATCTACTGGATGCAAGTGTTGGTTGCTGTTGACGAGACGTATGAAGCCCTGTTGCTGATGCAACTCAACGCTCTAGTATCCAGCTTGCTCAATTCCTGTTGGGCAGGTCAGCGAGCTAGATGCCACTGAGCCATTCGAGTTGAAGCCTGGCCAGGTCGGCCCAAGATGTAAGTCTTGTCATCCTTCTTTTTCATTTTTTGCCCTACTTTCTACCGATGCCACCTCTAACAAGGAGATCTTCTTGTCTAGACAACCCTGCGAACCTGGCTGGTGTACCTGTGCGATTCAAGTATCTACGCCGCAGATGCAAGACGAAGAATGTTTAGAGATTTCCGCAATCATTGACAGTTGCATGAAACGGCGTCAGTAGCATTTGGGCGTCAGTTTTGGATAAGCACTAGAGTTTGCGGATGAGCAATGATGCCGGGAAATGTGGTGGGCGAATGGTGTGGTGAGAGAGGTTCTTGATAGAAGTGATGATCAATTGATTGTGTTTATGATGAGAGATGGCCATATTTACTCTAACCACCAGGCTAACTCGTCCTCAGAGTTTCCCAAATCTCTTGAATACCAGCGCAGGCCTCCTCACTCAGCGGCCCCTTGGCAATCCCCGTCAACGTCTCCTCCAGCTGCTCCGGGCTGCTCGCGCCAATCACCAACGCATCCCCCCGCGCGCCGTCCAGCGCCGAGTGGTGAGCCATCCACCTATACGCCATCTCCGCCGCGCCGACGCCCTCCGCCGCGGCCAGCTCGTTCCACCTCCCCAGCGCCCTCGCGTACCGCTCCTCGCGCAGGTACGGCGCGCACGTCGTCGACGCCTGTTGCGCCGGCGTCTTGCCGAGGAAGCCGCCCGCCGCCGGGCTGAACGCGTGAAACGCCACGCCCAGCCGGCGCAGCGTCGGCAGCAGCGTCGCCTCCTTGTCCCGGCTCAGCGGGTTGTAGCCGCCCTGGTACACGGCAGGCGGCGGGTAGCCGTGGGTGATGCAGTGCTCGTGCGCGGCGGCGACGGCGGCGGGCGGGAAGCCGGACAGCCCGAGGCGGCGGAAGCGCCGGCGGCGGTAAGCCTCGTTGACGCCGGCGAGCGTCTCGGCGAGCGGGGTGAGGGGGTCCATCTTGTGCAGGTAGAACGTCCCCGCCGGCGTGCCGAGCCTCTGGATGCTCTCGTCAGCCGTCTCGATGATGCGCGCCTGGCTGGCCCACGGCGTCGTCTCTGTCCACGAGGGAGGGCTCCATTTCGTATCCAGCGTAAATCTTTCTCCGGCGCGTACTTGGCCCAGCGTGGCTTCTGAATTCCCGTAGGCCTGCGCCGTGTCGATAGTTGTGACGTTGTGTGCGCGTAGGACTCCCAGGAACGATTCGAGGCTGGTCTCGGGCTTGAACAGCTCCCTGTTACCGATTCGCGTTCCACCAAAAATGATTGCTGCAGGCTGGCGCATCATGCTGACTTTTCTCGAACCATGTGCCCTAGGCAGGTCTCACGGATAGTTAGTTGTCAGTTCTAGGTTTGGCGATGATGGGGGTTGATAGATGCTTGTCTAGCTATGCCAATCACGGTAGCGGGCAAAACGGCGGCTGATGTAATGGGGGGGTATGAGTGCTCACTCACATGCTCAACTCCAGCAAATGAATCGTCATCCAGCAAATGTAGGGTATCATAAATTTATCTTAATAATAATTCCGTGACTGGCCGAATTCACCGGCGCGGGCTTCTGTCACGATCATCCCGCCTGCGCTCAGGGGATCTAGAGCGACTACGGCGTCTAGGTCGGTCATCGCGATGTCTGTGTCCCCCACGCTCCCGGCTTCGATCCCTCCCCTGCCTGTCGCTCCTCTCGTCCCTCCTGCGTCTATCACCCCTCCCGTACCTATCGTGGCCCTCATCTCTCACCTCCCTCTCACGACTTCGTACTCTGCGGTCTCTGTGCTCCTTCCCGCGAGAGCGACTTGGATGCCGCCGTCGCTCTCCCGCTTCTCTATCACGATCGCGGCTTCCACTCCGGCTTCGCCGTCTATGACGCGCGTTCCGCTCCAGTCTGTCCCCATCGCGATGTCGTCGTGATCTATCTCGGCCGTGTCTCTCGCGATCGTCGCCATGAGTCTCCCCAGCTTCATCCGGTCCAGCAGTTGGACCAACCTGCCTCTTGCCGGTGACTTCGATGGCGTTCGCGCCCGTTGTATCCCTCTGTTTTACTGGCAGTCCGAGAGCGCGTGCCAGGGCATCCTCCTCTGCCTCCTTGATCTTGCGCAGCTCCTCCTTGCGCTCGCGAGCCTCGCGCTCCTCCTGCGTCTCCTCGGTGTTGGCGGCGCTCGCACCGGCCTTGGCGTACCAGTTGAGGTCCTTGCCCTGCTGCCAACGGCCTACGGGCGCCTTCAGGCTGTGGCCAAGGTAGTTTTCGCGGCGGGACGAGTTGGCGACTTCGTCCCAGCTGAAGTTGACGCCTCCGCGTGAGCCAGTCTTTCGGATCGTGGAGAGAAGATCCATCGCTTCGGCCGTTTTATTGCGCAGACAGACTGCTCTATCTTGTTGCTGGTTTTTCGCAAGCTTGTAATTCGATGGAATACTCGCAGGTCGGCTTTTCAGATGTCGACTTACTGTTGGCGTAAGGTGAAGAATGAAGCGCTATCTGGAGCCAGCCAGGCCAGTGGACTTCTGTTTACTTGGTTAGTCAGCACCTTGCAAGGCATCATAGTGGGAAATCGCAGCACATGCTTCTTCATTTCAATAATAAAATTCTTTAAATATTTCTCTTCTGAAAAGAAGAAACGGTTATCGTTTGGGCCGATATGCAAAGAAGCCATCGTTCCTGGCGCTGTTCCAGTATCACCTTCTAGTTGAGAGGCGAATGTCTATTCAGCTACTAGACTATGTCTGGTTACTTTCACAGCCTTTGCGTTGCATCTACAACATCCTCGTCGATTGATCTACGCTGCTTCCGGCCACATTGTGATTATCAGCAGCAATAATGAAGCAGCTAGTCCAAGACTTTCATTGGTCACAAGACATGCAGGACCCCTCATCAGAAAGCTGACCAGCTATGAAGCTTCCCATGAACAGCACCCCCATCTGCTCAAGACAACTTGGCTACGAAAACGAACATCATAATCGGAATCAAGACACTTGGCCAAAATGGTCCTCGCCCCCCTCTTCTTCCTCCGAGCCCGACAACCGTCGAGGAGCGCCAATTGGGACAAGCCGAACCTCGCGCTGCCCGACACGGCGAACCGCACCTTCAACGTCCACTTTGAGCTTCGCCGCGGCCTCTACGTCAGCACGCACAGCTTCCCGAAGCACGACGCCACCGCGCAGGAGCAGGACAAGGACACGCTCTTCTTCCCGCCGCCGCACTACCACCTCTTCGCCGACGAGCACTTCCTCGTCACGCGCGGCGCCGGCACCTGGCACCTCTGGGACCGCGACGTGCGGCTCAAGGCCGGCGAGAAGCTCTACCTCCCGGCGCGCGCCTGGCACTCCTTCGAGGGCGACCGGAGCGCCGAGGCGCCGCTCGCGGTCGAGGTGTACTTTGACAAGGGCCACGCGCACGTCGAGGAGCGCTTCTTCCGCAACATCCTGGGCTACCTGTCCGACTGCCACCGGGAGGGCATCGAGCCGAGCGTCTGCCAGCTGCTCATCTTCTTTCACCACTTCAGGATGGTGCCTGGGCTGAGGGTCGCGAGGTGGGAGCTGCTGAACTTGGTCCTGAACCTGGTCATCATGTACGTTGCCGCGTTCCTCGGCCTGCTGATGGGGTATGAGGGCTCCTATGATGAGTATTACCGCGAGAAGAAGAAGACGCAATAATGTCGGACTCTTGTGTTGGATTAGCTCAACTGCGACTTCCGCTCAACTTAATTTCTGCTCAAACTTCTGTCCAACTTCTGCAGGTACCGCACCGTACAGATTGGCATGATGGCCAGCGCGGCCACTTTCGCGGTGCGAACATGTGTATCAGCGCCGATATATTGAGGCGATGCGTTTTGCTTTACATAATACCTAATACTAGTTGCTGGATCAAATATTTGTAGAAAGAAATTCGAAAATTCCGTCAACCAACCTAGTGATTGATGCCTTGGATCTGCCTGTCTTCCTGGGATAGTGGATGTAAGTAAGCAAGCTGAAATGCGCATGTGCTAAACAGGGCTCAGCCATCGCACGAGGGCAAATACCGGTTGTTCTAGTTGATTTTTTTTTCTAAAAAAAAAATTGAGGTAAAGTTTCTCAGTACTTACTAATATTTTGCGGATTGGGTTTATAACAGTCTTCATTGTAAACGGCAGTCATGTGCAGGCACATTCATCTCAACCCTGGTGGGGTTGTACCACAAGTAGCTTTGGTCTTCCTCGCGCGCTCTCTCGTCGCGCCTCAACTTCAACCTCTCTCCTACCCGACTCAACCTGGCCACCAAGTCGCCCGTCGCCCCTCGCCCATGATGGACAACCCCAACGACCCCCCGCTCGACGAGATCCAATGGCACTCGCCGCAGATTATCCAGCAGATGGGCGGCCTGCACTCCAACACGATCCTCTTCTACTTTGCCGAGTCGCCCTTTTTCGAGCGCACATCCAACAACGCCGTCATCATGAGCCAGGCCATGAACAACATGTCCATGTACCACTTCATCCAGACCCGCGAGGCCTTTGAGGGCCGCCTCAAGACCATGTCCGGCCTCGAGTTCATCGTCGGCGAGGAGCCCGCCGAGACGGGGCCGGGCATGGGCACTGGCGTTTGGGTCATCCGCAAGCAGACACGCCGGAAGCGCTTCCAAGAGGCCGACGAGATCACGATCCACGCGTCATACTTCGTCGTCAATGAGAATATATACATGGCGCCCACGCTCGCGGATATTCTGGCGGCCCGCATCGTACGTGATACCGACTCGCTTCCCCATCATCGTTGCGACATGCTAACGAGAAATCAAACCGGCGCAGATGTCGATATCCTCCTCCATCTCCAAGGCCCTCCCGGCTGCCGAATCCGCTCGATCTTGGCGCCCGGCCGGCGGCCACTACTACAAACCACCTCGCGCGCAGGCCTCCGGGCCCGCCGGCGCGCTGCACGCGGCGCGGGCACGCATACAGGAATCCAAGGAGGCCACGCCCACACCGACCGGCAGCAGCGGGGGGGGCGGCGCCAACAAGGGCACATCAACCACCGCACCGCCGAACCTCGAAGTGCAGTCGCTGGAGCGCGTGGCGGAGGAGGCTTTTTGGGTACACATGCGATACGGCGGCGAGTACATCGACGAGAACCCCATCACCGGCCGGCCCGGCGACTTTCACCTTTCTTCGACGGGCCGCAAGCCCGTCACGGCGCCCAGATCCGTGGCTGCCGGTCAGCTAGGCCCCGCGGGCATAAGCGCCATGACGGGCCCGCCGGTACGCGGCGGAAAGGCGGACGACAAGAAGGATGGGGGAGTGGCTTCGGCGGCAGCGAAAGGAGACAAGGCGGCGCGGTCCGCGATGCCCAAGCCGAAGCGCAAGAAGAGCAAGCTCGGCGGCACTGGCTCGCGCACACCCACGGCAGCATAATGAGAGGCAAGATGTGTGGCGAGCAGACCAAAAGGGAGTATGGCGGGACGATTACACAGCACAAAAAAGGGCGTTTATGGATTTTCATGGTGGATGAATTGCAGGATAGCTGCTCGAAGTACTTAAAGATACCCCCCTTCTTCAATTTTTCAACCACCGCGCAGAGCAAACGCTTTCAGCAAGGGCTTAGATGGTGTGTCCGCCGTCGGCAGAGATGATGGCGCCCTGCAGGAAGGACGCCTTGGAGCTCACGATGAACAGGATGACGTCGGCACTTTCCTGCGGCGAGCACTTGCGCGGGATCGGCATGCCGCGCACGGCGTCGCCGTCGTGGGGGATCTGTGCGGTGAATGGCATGCTGTCGCCCCCATCCGGTCAGCCAACAAACAAATCGATTTGCTTGCGCGTTGCGAAGGGAGGGAGGCGCTTCTGTGCTCTTACTCTGTTATGCCCGGGGCGACGGCATTGACACGGATGTTCTGTGGTGAGCACTGCCCAAAAAGCCAAATTGTTAGCGGGAGCCGCCCATGCCATGTACCGTGCAACTTGGAAATATATGTATGTGATTATGGCGGCTTACGTCGAGGGCATCCGACTTTGTGATTTGAATCATGGCCGCTTTCGAGGCAGCATAGGGCGCTAACATGTCAGTCAGCATTCGATCCCACGGCATTGGCAGCAGCAGCCAACTGCGTTTCGTTTTCTTCAGTCGCGCTTACTCTTGCCGGGTATCGGGGAGATGCCGAGGCTGCTCGCGATGTTGACGATGGCGCCCCGCGCGCCCGGCCGCCCGTCGTGCGTCGGCAGCGGCTCCTGCGTCCTCATCTGGCGCGCCTGCGCCCGGCCGCACAGCCACACGCCGCGGGCGTTGACAGCCATGACGTCGTCAAAAGTCGGACGGGTCGACGTCGCTCGAGGCCATTCCGGGGCCGTAGATGCCTGCTCTCCGTTGAGTTTTGTTAGCGCGCACAACCCCTCCCTCTCTCGCTCTCCTTCCACCGCGCGCGCCACCTGTCAGTGCCATTCTCTCGTACCTACGCAGTTGACGGCGTAGTCGATCCGTCCGAACTGCTCGATGGCGCTCGCGACGCCGCTTTCGACGTCACTTTCAAGGCGCACGTCGCTCAGGACAATAAGGACACTGGCGTGCGGCGCGACAGCCTCGATGGACTGCTTGGTGGCGGTCAGCCCCTCGCTGCTGCTGTCCGTGATGGCGATCTTGGTGCAGCCCTCGACGGCAAAGGAGATGGCCGTCTGCCTGCCGATTCCTGGAAAGGGGTTGGCCAGTTATGTAGTTGAGTTGACACGTTCAGTTGCCGCATCATATAAGAGCCCCAACTTATTGTGCTTCACCCTCACTTTCAAAAAGAAATCGAGAAGACATTTCAAAAAAAAAAAAAAGATTCAAAAATTGCCACACTCCCCCCCTCACAAATCAAATCAACTCACCAGAGCCTGCACCGGTGACAAAGGCCACGCCGGGATACAGCGTAATGATGATCTCTCTACTTGCTGTTCGGAGGAGGCGGAACGATGATCAAACAGAACTACCTATTTTAAGCCAGTTCGGTTCTCGGCGCCGCAAAACCAGGCCTCGCCGTCTGAATGGGCAGGGAGGGGGGTCTTGTACGGCTCAACCCAACAAAGGAGAGATGACCAGAACCGCTTGTGCGTGTAAATCGTCGAGGAACGACGATCAAAGGCGAGTCTTCATATATTCGGGAATTCCTACGGGCAGATGAAGGGGAAAAAAGAAGGCTGCATGATGCAACCCTCCCCTCTGAAAAGCATATATACCCCCCTCACTAAGAGAAGCACGGAGCCTCCCCGCCTCGGTGCCTTTTCTCCCCCGCACGGCCGTAACTCTGTCCTACTAACAACAAGTATGTTTGTTACGGGTTGCACGACGGGTAAGAGACAGAGAGTCGGTCACGACGCCAATGTTGAGGTGTGACTGAGACACGCGAGATGCCAGTTTCCTTTTGCAGAAAAGAAAAAAAAATGACAAGAGAAAGATGAGACTGTTCGATATACTCTGTAGCATCGTGTGCTGCCCCGGCGCGGAGCGATGGCTTCGATGGCTTATCTTATGATGAATTGGAAAATGGTTAAACGTACGTCTATCGAATGTTTGATTGAGGATCCCAGTCCCCTAAAATGTACGCCAATACATGCAGGTAACATGTAAACACAATGCAAAAAAAAAAAAAACTATATGTATTCATCCGATGCTTAACCCCCCTCCCCCGAGACATGATCAGCCATGCCATTTCATGCAACCTCCCGTGCAACCCTCCCCCGCCCCACCTCCTTTCCGGTCTTTATCATTCCACCACCCATCCCCGGCCGGCAACCTTTCTCTGCTTCACCTTCTTGGCCGGCAGCTGCCAGCCCTGCCCGCCCGTGTTCTCGGCCCTTAGGTACGGGTTCACCCAGCACTCGCGCGTCGCGCCGCCGTCCACGCCCGCCGACGGCGCCCGCGTCTCCTTGATCGGCTTGCCGTACGTCAGCAGCGACGTGCCCCTCGCCAGCCCGGCCAGCTGCCCGCCCGAGACGTCGGTGAGCGCGTGCATCCGCGTCTTGGGCGTCTTGGACCCGTCGCCCGTCGGGGTCGCCCGCTGCAGGTACGAGTACACGATGTACTCGGGGCACTCCTGGATGCTGAGGTGCGCCATCGGCGAGGTCGGGTGGATGTACACGAGGCCGCCGTCCTCGTTGCCGCCGGCGCGGAGGGGAATGAGGGGCACGTACGGCACGTCGATGGCCCGCTTCGGCTTGCGGTGGTGCTCAGGGGGCACGGGCGCCTTGTCCGCCCGGATCGCCACCTGGTCGATGAAGCCGGCGGTGGCCATCTGCTTCAGCGCGGCGACCTGCTTCGCAGACGGCGGGTCCAGCTTCTCTTTGTACTGGAGGCTGGCAAACGATGGGATATTTGTGCGCAGGAGATCCGTGATCTGCTTGCGAAGCTGCTGGATTTCCTTGAGCACCTTGAAGCGCACAAAGTGGCTCTCGCACCACGCCTCCGTCGGCTCGTGCGCGAATTCACCCACGACCTGCAGCAGCTTGATGGCGTCGGACTTGTCGTCGAGGTAGCAAAAGTTGTGATGCACCTGGTTGAACGCGCGTCGCGCATTGACTTGTCGTGTCTCGGCCACGATGTCGGCGTTGGTGCGGATTGCCCCGTCCTCCTGGGCTGCCAAGGCGGGCACCGCCTGCGCCTCGGGTAGGAAGACTTCGGCGGCAGACAGGCCGGCTACCAGAGCAATGGTATACGGCAGGCAGTCGTGCAGGTGGCCGACGAGTAGAATTCTCGCGAAGCGGGGGGACAGGGGAAACATGGACATGGTCTGGCCGATTTGTGTAATCTGACCGCTGGTCGAGATGGCTGAGAGGTATTCCAGCAGCTTCTCTGCTGTAGCCAGGCTGTGCCGCTCTGGCGGTGTAGGGAACGGAAAGTTGACGACGTTCTGCAGATTCATGGACTTGAGCTGCAGAACGACGCCCTCAATCGGCATGCGCAGGAGCTCAGGATCTGCAAACTCCTGGAAGTCGCGCTCAAACACGGCAGACGAATACAGCCTGTAGCAGTGACCGGGGCCTGTACGACCTGCACGACCCGCGCGCTGGTTCGCGCTGGCTTTGCTAATCCAGCCAATGTCGTAGCTTTGCACGCCACTCTGACGGTCGTAGTTTCGGTCCTTGACTCGGCCACAGTCGAACACGAATCGAGTTCCCGGGATGGTCAGCGACGTTTCGGCGACGTTGGTGGCCAGGATAATTTGTCTCGTACCCTCAGGTGCGGGTTCGAACACGCGCATCTGCTCTCGTGTAGGGAGCAACGAGTAGAGAGGCAAAATCTGTACTTTCAAGGGGGCGGCTTCTTGCTCTTCCTCGACCTCGAATTCATTTTCCCCCTCTTCCTCGCCATCCGACATTATCTCATCCAAATCATCATGCGCATTATCATCCACATCACCAAGTTCGAGGTCCTCCACTTCCAGTGGTGCTTCAGAGGCTGATATCCGTACTTTGGGGCCTTCGGCAGACTTCAGCCCGCCAAACGCCGTTTTTAAGCGCTTGCTAAGTTGTAGAATTTCGTTGCGGCCAGTGAGGAACACCAGGAATCCACCGGGTGGGAGTTTTCTATGCCCACGGCTGATCTTGCGGAACGCTTCCTCAACATAGTCGTGGTGTGTTTTGCGAGCGAAGTGCATGGTGACGGGATGCTGTCTACCCTCCACCTCAAGAACCGGGGGAGGCGTAGGAAATAGGTTTGGGTTCATTGTGAGATCCTCAATTCTAAGAGTAGCGGACATGATGACGAGCTTCAGTGGCTTGAGCTTCTTGTCTTCCTCTGCTAGCTCGGCACGAAGCTTAATGACCCTGCTCAGCATACCGATCAGGATATCTGTGTTGACACTCCTTTCGTGCGCCTCATCAATGATGATGGCCGAGTATTTCTTGAGAGTAATGTCTTGGGCAATTTCGCGCAGTAAAATACCATCTGTCATGAACTTAACTGCAGTCTTGTCGTCGACACTTCCCTCAAATCGAATCTGGTAGGCGACTCTTGAGGAGTGATCGCCCAGCTCCTCAGCTACACGCCGTGACATACTGACGGCGGCGACTCGGCGAGGCTGCGTAACACCAACCATGCCCGGTGTTTTTGAATCCGCAGCTCCATAGCCGGCTTCGTACAGAAACTGGGGTACTTGTGTCGTCTTGCCGGAACCTGTAGCGCCGCAAATGACGACAATGTTGTTGTTATGGATGGCTTCCATGAGTTTCTGCTCTTCAGAGACCACAGGGAGTTTCAGGCGAGCTTCCTGGATTTCCGGTGTCCTCGTTACGGTCACGCTGAATGCTTTTCTGTCGGTATTCGCGGTCGGTTGTAGTTCCATAGGCAGCGGGTCTTGCTCCGGCGCACGAGGGACGAAATTTTCGGGTTTTGGAATGACCATGTTGCTTGTTGTTGGCTCATTCGGCTTGAAGCCAAGCGCTTCATTGCGTTGTTGCGTTGCCCACGCTTTGAATATGGAAGATCGTTGCGATCGTTGTTCAGCTGCTTCTTCATCCTCATCGTCGTTGTCGTCGTCGTCGTCGTCGTCATCGTCTTCGCTCTCATCGTCTGAGGCCGAGTCTTCATCATCTTCAGCTTCTTCATCTTCATCGTCGTCTAGCAACTCCTCGTTGTCGTCACTGAAGCCACCCCACTCGTCTTCATCACCGTCGCTCCCACTTTCGCTCTCTGGATTTGTGAGCTGGACAGGAACCGTGATTTTTGATTTGACACCGCCTCGTTTTTGTCGCTTTTGGATCACCGGTCTTCCATCATCGTCGACGTCGAGAGGCCGTTTCAAGCCAGAGCCTAGCACGACTGGTTTTTGTGTGGTATCGGATATAGGTTCTGTAGCCTTGCTTTCAGGCTGCGGTACTGCAATGGGTGCAGACTTTACCCGGGCAGCGAGCTTGTGGCTCGGGAGTTCTTCGTCGTCCACGTCGCTGTCGTCGCTGGCCGCCTCGGGTCTCTCCTCTAAGAGCTCTGCGCCATCCTCAATTCCGGCCCTGGATTCTCTCAGCGCTCTCGCCAGGCTCTGTTTCTTGGTCTCGCGACCCTGACCCAGAGATTTGCTACTCGCGAATAAACTCGTGTCGACCTTTTTCGAAGCCAGCTTGGCCAACAACTCTCGGTTCTCGTCCTTGCGCAGCTTGGTGTCAATGTATTTTTCGAGACGCTTCGCCTTCTTCGAGTTCATCTTTCCCGCCTCTTGCTTCAGCTCCTCCTTCATGCGTGCGCGCTTGTCTGCCCATTCCTGCTTGTCGGCCGAGTCGAGGATTTCCTGATTGGTGTCCGCGGCGTCGTGGCGGCCATTTTCCTTGGCTCGCTCGCGAGCAAGCACCTTGTGCTTGCGCTGTCTAGGAATGAATTTTGCCATTTCTGCCCGGATTGACAGATATTCGGCCCACGATTCCTTGCGCAAAACTTTTTTCGACTGAAGTTCTTCTGCAAGACAATATCCAGCGGCACTACCTAGAATTTTGGTGGAGCTTGATTTTGCCGCTGGTGACCGCAAAAACCTGCAACCCGAACGGGACTAGTGCGGGGCGGTGAGCTGTTATCACTAACCTGATCGTGAGGCTCAGTTACCCGGGACATGCTAGAAGTTTGCCAAGTCAAAGCAAAATGGCAGCCCGGGATATCAGGGACGATGCGTATCCGGCAAAGACTCAGAAGGCTACCGGGTTTGTAAACGGAATTGCAACTGAGGTATCTTCGACAAACTACTCTGACCGAATCCTTGTCACAATCAGCCAGGAAGGGAGGCTATCACAATGGGTACGCAGCTAAGCCCAACTGCATGATCGGTCAGCTTATCGCATGTACAGGTTCAAGTTCCCCTGACGCCATCTGCGGCCGGAGGTGTTGAAATGAGTTTACCCGCCGGTAGCCACGGCCTCCTTCCGTCCACACACCTCACACCAACGACGCTCCTGGGCGGAGGTGGGGGAGAACGGGAGACTCTCGGACAGCTCTACGCGGCGCAGATCGCGAGCTTCTTGTCACTACGCTACCCCGATGACAGACGGACTTTGGTGGTTGGATTTGGGTTGAAGAATCTTGACAAAGAAAGAGAATCCTTTTTCGATCTTGTGGAGCTGGCTCAAAAGGTATTGTAAATACGTCGACTGCTTCTTGAGGCAGATATTATGAACTTTATTCGAGATGGCTACTTCGGGCTCAGCACAAGGATTGCTACCAATCGAATCGAACATTTCAGTTTTACCTATCAGGAGACGGTAAATCTCGAAGTTGAGTTGGTGGCCGGCGCGAACAGAAAAGTCCGAGATGATGACACCTTTGCTCGTCGAGGCCGGCAAAACATCACCGGTATCCCCCGACATGCAGCCAATATAATGCATATAAAAGGGGTATTAAGACATGGATACCTTGCGAACCGGCAGCATCCGTATCGATTCTAAGGACCATTTGCATCATCACCACTGACTGGCGATGCATCTACATAGCTCAGCCTCCTCCCCAGAGCGGACGCGGCGGCCAGCGAAGGATTCACGTTTTTGACACCAAGGGCAACACTTCGGTGTTTCAAAAGTCTTGAGTTCTCAAGAACATGATATGTTACAGCGGTTGTGTTGAGCATGCATGTGGCTGCCTGGAATCCGTTCCGTTGATGTAGTGGCGTCCATCACCGGCCTGGAATGCGCGACACGCGCTGTAACGGGCGTCGCGGGATTTTTCCTGAATGAGTATTGATCCTCTATCGCTTTATGAATGGATATTCTTTATTGATATATGATTGCGGTGGAGTAAAATAGCCGGAATGGAGGGATTCCCGAAACCTGCAGATGGACGACCCAATTGTGGTCCTTCGGAGGTCTCCCCCGCGTCATGATATTACTTGACAGCTTATAAGAGACTCGGCATTTATAATGAGACTTTTCCAGTTGAAATAGAGGGAAGTATATGCTTGGGCACATGTCTCTTTGCAGAATATCCGCCCTCTCGACTCAATCCAAATGGGAGAAATCGCCCGTTCAATATAACAACCATGCTATTAATCTACGCCATTGGCATCGCGCTTATCGGCTTCATTGCCGTCACTATTATTCAGGCGCTGACCTCGCCATTACGGTCTGTTCCAGGGCCTTTCCTTGCTCGGTTCACTCGTCTCTGGTACCTTTTCCGCGTCGTCAGGGGGCACTTTGAGGATGAAAACATCGCGCTACACCGGCGTTACGGGCCAATCGTCCGCCTGGCGCCGAACATGTTCAGCATTGACACGCCAGAGGCCGTCAGCGCCGTGTACAGCGTGGGATCCAAGATGCCCAAGTCGGCGTGGTACGATGGCTGGCAGCACCCGACCGCGGAGCGCGCAACCTTGTTCCCGGACAGGTTGCAGAAGCGACACGCGGAAACTCGGAGGCGCTTCCAGAATCTATACAGCATGACTAGTCTGGTGAGCTATGAGGGGTACGTGGATTCATGTACCGAAATCTTCTTCCAAAGATTCGACAAGCTTGCGAGGGAAGGGACAGCATTTGATCTGGCGCACTGGTTTCAGTGCTTTGCATTCGATGTTATTGGAGACATCACCTACTCGAAGCGCTTCGGGTTCCTGGATCACGGCGAGGACATCTCGGGTCTGCTCGCGGCGAACCACAAGCTCATTGTGTATGGAGCCCTGGTTGGCACTTTCCCGGAGGTGCACCCAATTCTGTACCGCGTCATGACTTGGCTGGGCATCGGCGGAGCGGCCGGCCGGAATTATCTGCTCAGGTTCACACAGCAGCGCGTGACTCAGCGTCGCGCGGAGATGGCCGCCGCCGCGGAGGCATCCACAGACGAGGCATCTGACGAGTACAAGCCGCAGAGCTTCCTCGACAAGATGCTCGTCCAGAACGAAAAGGATCCCGAAAAGGTCACGGACGATCACCTCATTAGCATGTCGCTGGCGAACATTGTGGCCGGCTCTGATACGACCGCCATTACGCTGTCGGCGATCTTGTACCACTTGATGCGGAATCCGGCTGCGCTGGCAAGGCTGAGGGCGGAGGTGGACGAGTTGGAAAAGCAGGGCAAGCTGGACGACCGCGGGCATGTGCGATTCCAGGACGGCAAGGACATGACGTACCTGCAGGCGGTGATCACCGAGGCGCTGCGGATGCACTCAGCCACGGGCCTGCCTCTGTGGAGAGACGTCTCCAAAGATGGCCTGATGCTAAGTGGGCAATACTTCCCGGAAGGGACCACGGTCGGACTGAATAACTGGTGCGCGCATTACAACGAGGCCGTGTTTGGGCAGGACGCGCACGAGTTCCGGCCGGAGCGGTGGCTGGCAGAGCAAGACGAGGTGAAGAAGTTGAACGCCTACTATCTACCGGTGAGTTAACTATGGAATACACAAAAGCCTTGGAACAAGGGACTGACACTAGATTTAAGTTTGGATTGGGTTCGAGAACGTGTATTGGGCGACACATATCAATGCTGGAAATCTCGAAGCTGGTGCCGATGCTGGTCAGGAGGTATGATTTTGAGGCGGTTCATGGAAACAACGCATGGGAAACGAAGAATCTTTGGTTTGTCAAGCCTATTGATTTCAGAGTCAAGGTCAAGCACAGAGTGTAAATCGTGGTGAGCCTTCTGGCGGAGTGTAAGAGCTAATGCGACCTTGGCCCTGACCAAGAAGCCCAGTGCGACTGCGCAACTAAAGTCACACATGGTTGTTCATTAAAGAAATCGTGCATTGCCCTATTAACGCCTTTGAAATCTCATTACTCATCTTGGAAGTAACCTTGGTCCACTAGAAGCAACCACTCGAGGCAATCCTCGCCGCCCGCCCCGCCGATCGCAGCCTTACGCCGCCGCACTCGATCACAGACAGACCCCTCACTTCCCGGGCCGTCCGAGGCGATCCCGTCTCGCATAGCAACCAACTCTCATCCTCTACATAGAAACACGGCCAGACCACATATTTATGGAAATCATCATCGTTGGAGCCGGCATAGCCGGCCTCTCCCTCGCCCTTGCGCTAGCTCGGTCTGGCCACCGCGTCCTCGTGCTCGAGGCCGCGCCGGCGCTCGCCGAGATGGGCGCCGGCGTGCAGATGACGCCGCTCGCCATGCGGTACCTGTTCCGCTGGGGCATGCGTGACGACGTGCTCGACGCCTCCATCGTGCCCGCCGAGATGCTCGTCCGCGATGGCGCCTCGGGTGACGTGCTCGCCGCGATCCCGACCGGTACCATGGAGGAACGGTACGGCGGCGCGCCGTACATCGTCGTCCATCGCGCGGTCCTGCATGACCTGCTGCACCGCCACGCCATCCGGGCCGGCGCGGAGCTACGCGTCGATAGCAGGGTCGTCGCCTACGACTTTGCGGCCGGAGCGGTGGAGCTGCATGACGGGACCCGGCTGGTCGCCGACCTGGTGCTCGGTGCCGACGGTAAGGCCCACCCCGACCGGAACACTCTTGCTTGACATATAATGGCTTAATATTTCTCCCTTCTCATCTCATTTGATCCTAGGCATCAATTCGTTTGCGAGACGCCAACTCCTTGGCGACGCCAACGCCGACACCCGGCCCACGGGGCTGGCCGCCGTCCGCACTATGGCGGAGGTGGCGCAGATGAAGGCCGATCCGCTGCTCGCCGACTTGGCCGACCTGGAGACGTACAGATCGCACCTGTGGATCGCGCCGGGGCGCTCCGTCATGGCCTATCTCATAAAGGAGGCCACGCTGTTCAACGTCGTGCTCTCGCACCCCGACGACATCGACATGTCCAAGTTTACCCCCGACGAGTACCGGGCCTTTGCCCAGGACCTCGTCAAGGGCTTTGAGCCAAGGTCAGCAGCCAAGCCCGCACTATCACAGAGATGTTTCCCTCTTTAATCACAGCTCTCTAACAATGTCAACAGGGTACGGCGGCTGATCGACACCCTGCTGCCCAAGATGCAAAACTTCCCCGTACACGCCGTGCCGCCGCTCTCGCGCTGGGCCCACGCCTCCGGCCGCTTCGCGCTCGTCGGCGACGCCGCGCACGCTATGGCCTTCTACCTGTCCATGGGCGTCAGCATGGCCGTCGAGGATGCCGCGTCCCTCATCGCCGTCCTTGACCTCGCCTGTCCCGCCGCCGTCAAAGGAGCGGCCGTCGATCACGGCAAGCTCAAGACGGCGCTCAAGGCGTTTGAGGAAGCGCGTAAAGAGCGCGTGCGCATTGTGCAGGACGCGAGCCTGCACGGAGGCCGCATGCTGCACGTCGAGGACGCCACGAAGAGGGAAAAGGTGTACGCGGCGATGAGGGCGGACGGGTTGAAGGACGCCGACGGTGTGTCGGAGGCGACGCTGGCTACGGAGAGCTTGACGTATGGGCTGGCGGATCAGCGGGTGAGGGACTGGTGCTTCGCGTACGACCCGGTCAAGGTTGTTAAGGTGTGTTATGAAGCGATAGCGTAGACTTGGTGGTATTTGAGCATGCCACTGTCTGTATGGCAGGCGCCGGCATAATAGAACATAAGACTATATATATATATATATACATGTATAGGAGGTCCCAGCTAGAATATCGCAAAATATAAAAAGAAAAAGAAAATAAAATCGCCCGTGTCTCTTTTATTTCTCCGTGTATCGGACATATCTTAAGCGCGGCGACAACATAGCTCGGGATCCAACCGGAGCCCGGGATCCAGCCGGCATTGGTTGCCCAAAACGGAAATCCAACACGGAGGTGGCCGGGCCGGACAACTACACGACGAAGACGGACGAGCGTTTCTCCCACGTCCATAGTCTCTGGAAACCACCGAATTTCCCCTTTTCAGTATAGCAATATCGCCGAGTTGATAATCTGCCTGCAAGTGTGAAGCGTTCTCTCCTACCCCTGTTGGTTAGGTAGACTTTCAGCTTGGCTGAGCTAGTCTACCTGAACCCTCGCGATCGCCACCCGTTTACGCGTCAACGTAATGCTCTCATCGTCCAGATCTACATACCCTCAGATCGAGTCATTCTCATTTTCTTTTTTTCATGAACTTACCTCATTTATACTTCCCGACACAACACCGCGAAAAGCATGTCCACCACGCCACCGAGAACCATCTACAATGTCGACCCTCCTCCCGTCGACCTCATCCGATCTATCGTCACCTCCCCCTCCCCCCCTCCCACACCCGCCAAGCCATCCTACGGCATCGACTCCCCCCTCGGCCTTCTCCTCTCCTGCTTCGCCGCTCCCCTGTACCTCTACGCCACCCTCCGCGGCAAGTCCCTCGCCTGGGACGCCATCTACGCCTCCTTGCCCCCGTCCTCCTCCCCGGCCCTCGACGTCGGCTGCGGCCGCGGCCTCGTCCTCTTCAAGCTCGCCGCCGCCCGCGGCACGCGCGCCTACGGCATCGACCTATTCCGCACCGGCGACCAGACCGGTAACGGCCCCGCGGCCACGTACCGCAACGCCGCCGCGCTCGGGCTCCTCGACCGTGTCGTGCTGCACGAGGCGAGCTTCACCGAGTCGTTCCCATTCGCGGACGGCGCGTTCGGTGTGGTCGCGTCCAGTTTAGCGTTGCACAACGCCGACCGCGCGGGGCGAAGAACGGCGGTGGCGGAGATGGCGAGGGTATGCGGGCCAGGCGGCAGGATCGTGCTGGTCGACTTGTGCGGATACTTTGGCGATCACAGGGCGGTGCTGGAAGGGTTGGGGTGGACGGACGTGGTCGTCTCGTTTGTCGGTTGGAGGATGGTCTTTGGCATCTGGCCGTGTCAGCTCCTCGTAGCAACCAAGCCCCAAAGAGCGGAAAGCCAAGAGGCTGCGTAAAGGAAAAATTACTGTATAATTGTGCAATACGTCGCGGTTGGAGTTTGGGAGTGTGTCCTACGGAGCCTTTTTCAGAATGACATCACTGCTGCATCGTACATCCTCATCTAACTCGTATATGCTCGTTAAACTATATAGCCCGGAAGCCACCTATTCAACTAGACAATGTTTCCAAACACTGCTTTCGTAGAAGAGCTTGGGATTCATCAATACTCGCATCAACTCCCTTTCCTCTTCGTCCGCCATGCTTTCCTCTTGGTATATTTGTTGATCCGCGCAATTCGCCTTGACTTGCTTTCTACCAGAACCAGCCTGCTGGGCCATTTCAAATGATGACTGTGCACTCTTTATTTCAAATGCCAATTGTAACCCTCTAACTCCCCCGTGTTCAAGCATTTGCATCGCAATCCCACATGCTCTACACGATACCTGTCGGTCTACGAACGGGAAGCGGGCTTGCGGTCTCTGTCGAGTCGAGTTAGTCGATGGGCTTTTAAATCGAGTTCTAAATACCTACGTGCTGAGTCGTCTTGACAGCTGATGGAGCTTCTTGTCATTGTCGGCCTCGTGCACAGCCTTTTGCATAGCAATACTTCTCTCCTCTTCCTGGTGTCTGGTGACCTCCTCTTGACTGGGAGGCAGGTGCTCGTTTTGAATATCCACCTTTTTGGCATCTTCAAAGGAGCTGATAGCGTTTTTGATACCTTCCGCGCCGAGCATCAGGGTACCAGCCGGCAGACGGCCGCCAGCGACCGTCTTGAGCTCCGTAACACGCTCCGACTCCTCGCGCAAGACCTGGAACACCCTCGACATGCGGCCGATAGCAAGAATCTTGTTCTTGATTGCTCGGCGCTTGAATTCAATCGATTCGGGGTCGTGGTCGGTGGGAGTCGAAACGACGGGTGGCGACACGCGACCGGGCGAGGTAGATGACGGTGTCTCCTCTCTAAGTTCCTCTTCCGAGCACGTGCTGAGAATAGCAATCAACATGTCTGTAATCTTTTCTCCCACAAAGGGCAGCGACCAGGTAAAGACGTCCATAAAGTTTGGAAGCCAGTAGGGGTGGGGGGTGCAATTAAATTGGCGAATGTTCATAACATTGTTTTCGTACTTGAGAACCGCGGCCTTGTTGTTATAAACGTCGAGGTAATTCGGTGCGGAAAAGATGGTCATGACACTGGGGAAACCGGTCGTCTTAGTCTTCCGGTACATTCGGTAGCCGGCGTCTTGAGCTTCATGTGCGCGGATGACGGAGAGGAGGTTGTTCTTCTCTAAGAAGGCGCACGCTGCGGGATATGAGAAAAAGTACGAGCATCCTCGTACGTGGTTATGCAGGAAATAGTCGCTAGTTTTTTCCTGTCCAAAGTCTTCGAGGGGGTCGGCCCAGAGAATGTCACACATGAGACCCTGCGTAGGAGGCTCCCGGAACCGATCAACCTAAAGCAATCTTGTTAGTAAATGGTTCTACACGACTCAGTCATAAAGGGCTTCGCGTCTCGTACATTTCTCAGGTCATCCAGGGTGTGCAGCTCGGGGCTGAGACCTCCATGGATGCAGAGAAACTGCTTGTTCATGACAGCGGCGAGGGGTAGGCAGCAAAAGGCCTCAATGCAGGCTTCGTAGACAGCCTCGGAGTACTTGTGTTTGCATTCGAGCTTAAAGGTGAAGTAGTCGGTCAAGTGACGGCACTCGTGGTTGCCGCGCAGGAGCCAGAGGGTCTTAGGGTAGTGGATCTTAAGAGACCACAGATACAAGACACACTCGATAGAAAAGTAGCCGCGGTCGACGTAGTCGCCAAGGAAGAGGTAGCGCGTCTCGGCAGGATCGCCGCCGACCTCGAACAGCTTCATGAGGTCGTAGTACTGGCCGTGGACATCACCACAGACAGTGATGGGGGCGTCCATCTCGAGTAGGTTGGGCTCTGCGCGCAAAACATCGGCACCGGTCTTGAGGATGAAGAGAGCCTGCTCTTCGGTCAAACGACCCTCGCGGTAAAAGTGCTGCTTGAGGAAATGGATGTCGGGTTTGGTGTGGGTGCTATCCGAGAAGAATTGCTCGTCCGTAGGTTTGAAGGTGGCCGGTGCTTGGACGTCTGCGGGAGAATGAGTTGATTAGCATCATGATGAGGCAAACGTTGCGCGGGACGTAAACAGTTCAGATGCATTTGTCGCGCAGCTTGGCAAGGCGGCGTATGCACTGCGCAGCACCTGGGCTCGACATACCTTTGCAAACACGCTCCATGGTGCTAACCTGGGTGCCATCCTCCATGGTATGAATCGTGAAATCAATCTCGGGGACGGGCTTCTTGTGCTGAATGGCACGGATAGCATTGTCGACCTGCTGGTTGCGACGGTCCTCGAGGGTGGTGGTGTGCTCGGCGTCCATGGCTGCGGCGGGGGGGAGGTAGCCGACAAAGACGCGGAGGAATCAGGCAGGTGTCGGGTGGAAGAAAAACGCCTCCTGGATGGACAGAAAAGAATGTTGTCGCAAGGTCAGCCTAATCGCAGGACCGAATAGCCGCGCTTTCTTGGCGGTGAGGGGCTGAGGTTTGCAGAGCAGAGCAGAGCTAGAGCATACGAATATTTGTATGCGGCTTGCTGGTAAGTTAGGCAGGTCCGGGAGCGACTCCAAGGTGACTCGTTGAGACGGCAGAGGGCGCTGGTAGGGGGTGCGGAACGAGGCCGTGGATGATGGCGGACGAGTCAAACTGGAGGTTGATGCAGAATGGTTAGGCAGAGCTCCGTGGAGAAGAAGGTTGGTCTGCAAAGAGCAGAGAATGGATGGGCAAAGCTTCCAGGTGGGCGGCGGATCCAAGGCGATGGACGGGCAGGTGGGTTACAAGTGGGAGAGAAGAGGCGTGATTGGGAGTTGCAGTGGAAGCATGACGAGGAACGAGGTGCCCGATTTGGCGCTACGGGCAGTGTACAGTGGTGGTTTGGTAATGCTTACAGTGGATGAGCTGCCTGTGTTGCATGGATTCTTTGCCCACCCAATCAAGGTACCCCTCATTCAGCAGTGTAAGCTGCCAGTCATCAGAGGAGCTCTACAACTCAACCAGCAATTTTCTCCTACCCGTGAGATTTTGAATTCTGATTGAGATGATTCTCTGCGAATTTTCAAAGCTTTCTCTTTCCTGTTTCCATTTTTCCTCGCTTCCTTTTTTCCCCAGTATCTGGACTCACCCCTGTGCCCCGCGCCAAAGAGGCAGCTCGGGCCCCGCTTCCACCCTGGGATACGAGGAAAAAGTCCCCCAATTTGCCCAAAAAACAAAGGCAGCCAAGAAAAAGCTGGCGCAATAAGCTTTTCTGGCCTTGTCTTCGACAAACCACGCAGTCAGCGCATCACGGTACATACATTGTAACGGGTTACACAACACACATTCAAAAGCATTCCCAAGTACAACTTTTAATGCTAACAAATGTGGCCTTTCTTCTCTGACGAGATCTCTGAACCCCATTTCGCGCCACACTTTTCCCGTCGTTTGTCTCTCGCATCCCACTACCATTTTTGTGTCAACTACGTCACACCTCGGGATGTGGCTGAATCAGATAACCATCAACCAGTAGAGCTACATGATCTGTACTGATGACTGGTTTCTTCATCGACGATTATTCTCTTATCACCAAGTAAACTTTGTTTAATGTATTTACTTCCATTTTTCATTTCTCATCTTTTTTCTAACGTTCAGTGCCCATCGCCACCGTCGCGAAAACTTACCTTCCTACCTGTCATCGAAGCTGCATGTTATGGGAAATGACCTCATCCCTTTCAAAGTTCGACGTCTTCCATCGAGAAATAAAATCGTCTCGGTTGACTAAATGGCTCAGCATACTCCTAGCTTCGCTAATCAAGGTCACTTACTGTAGCCACCGCAGATGCGTCTCAGGCCCTCAAACGCGCTTCGCCCGTGAAGGACTCGCCAGTTGTCAAAGACTACAGCAGTCAAGTCAGCAACAGCTCCAAACACAATCAGACCAGCCATCAACCTACTCAGCATTCGCCCGGGCGTCAGCTGGAACCAGTACTCGCTATCCTTGCGCGTCAGAATCTCGTTCCACTTGCGCGCAGCCTTATACCACGCATCGACGTCGACGTCCAGTGGAATCACGCCTCTGTCATCGTTGTTCCAGCGAATCCGATGCAAGGCCAAGTCTCCCTCAATCACGGGATATGCACGGTCCGGAGCAATCGCTACGTCTTGGTTCCCGCTTGCATGCCACGGCACCTTGACCCGACGCAACGTTTCGTAGTCTTCGGGCGACTCCTGCTTGAGCAGTGACGCGGCGTGGAAGCCGTCCACAAGCAGTGACTGACCGCCCAGGGCCTCTTCCGGGCGTTGGTTCGGGGGAGGCGTGTGCGAGAGCAGGTGGAATGCTTGCAGGCCAGCCGGCTCGGTAAAATAGGTTGTGTCGGTGTGAGCCGCGAGTGCCAGGTTAGTGTACGCCGTATCAGCCAAGGCAAGATCAGGAATGAAGTCGTAGAACCCGCCGTAGTGAGTATTTCGGATTGGCCCAATCGTCTCCAGCAGCTTTTCTGAAGCCTCAGGCGTCGCAGGGGTGTTTGTCACGAAGCAGAGGCCATATGCGCGCTGCAGGTGTTAGTCATGCATGTGCAAGCAGTTGAAGCCTGGCTTACAATTTTGTCTGTCAGGTCCGCCAGGCCGTTCAGGCCCTTGCCTTCTACAACGGAGTCAAACGGAACTTCCGGGGGATTCTCTGCGATGCTGGCACCCCACAGTTTCTTTTCGCTACGAATTGTCAGGGTCTCATGGTTCACCAGTGCGGCTTCATGAAGACTTACTTTTGTGCCATTGGGTGATTGCTTCTGCTGGCAGTGAGGGCTTCGTAGAACCATGCCCAGGGGTAGTAACTTTTATGCGAGTCGCTCCCTACATCCATTAGCTTCTTATTCAAAGGCGCGATAGGGTTTTATGGGCAGCTGCATACAAGTAATTTCCACTCCGTCGGTTTTGGGCGATATTTTCGCTGGTTCGATTTCTGCCGAAATCTAGGCTTGTCAGTATAGCTCCGCCACTAATAGACAGGACGCCTCACGCCAAATGTGTCGTAATTTCTCTGCATCGTGTCTTGGTTGACGCACAAATTGCAGCGACAGTTGTCGCTTGTTTGTGTTAGCATACTTCGGCGCTGCCTCACCCACCAGAACTTACCGAAGCCAAAACTTGGAGCTAGAGCCAGTAATTAGCCAAGAAAGTACAATTGCTCATGTCATCACGTACAGGAGCGTGTTGACTTGTCTTCCGGATTCAGCGCTTCTCAAAAGCAGCCCTTTGGCGCTTGATTCCAGGACCGTCGAGTATACTCTGGCATTGGGCCGAATCCCCGAAACAGCTACCGACACGCTGCTTCGTGTTAGAGTAGCTTTTGGGCTATGCATCGTTAGCCGCAATTCTATAGTGATTGTAGAATCGGTTACTTGCCGGATGGCTTGAGCCACGCTCAGCAGGCTCGATTTCATCGTGCCGTGTTTTTTTTAATGCAATTTGTTGCTTGGAAGATACATCCTCATTACCCCGGACCGACGGAGGCAACCTAGTTAACCTTAGCGGGCTGTTGTTAGCAGAGAACGCCACAGTTCGCACGTGAGAACAGGCTTCCGAATCAGCAGGCAGCGCCACAGCGCGCGGCGCAGGCCGCAAAAAGTTCTGACGTCGCAACTAAGTTATCTCAGTAGTTACTTGGGAGGACAGACCAGCTTGATGGCGATTGCCTTCCGAACCTCTCAAACTCAAAAACGCAGCATTAAAAAGTCACCACCGCCCGTTCGCCAATATCCTCCGTGGTAGCATTCTCAACAGAAGATACGAGCACGTCAGGCATCATCATCAGCCACGAATTTCCTCTTTGTGCCACAAAACATTGTCATGGCACTGCAACTTTAACCATCCGTGCGCCCTCGACAAGGCACCATCCAGAAGAGCGCTTCATCCGACAAGTTTCCGAGGCAGCGCTCCCTCTACAGCATGAACTTCGAAGACGAGCAGCTCGTCAACTTTTATCACGATCGCGTGTCTGCGCACCGACGACTTCTTTCGCCGACAAGCGAGTCCCTCTGGGACAGATTTCACTGGTCGGGCTGGAGCATCACACTGCTGGTCCTCGCAGCTACGCTCCTCTACAGAGCGTATGGCCAGGAGACAACTCTCGATGCGGTCGTGACATCGGCAGGCAATATTCTTCTCGAAGCACTCATCTTTGTCCTACCCGCCCGCGTAATCTTTGCCGTTGACAGCTGGATCAACCCGTCGCAACCGATGAGCAACAACAACACGCACACAGCCAAGAGCGATGCGATGCGCCGTATAATAGGACTGGACCGACCAGGAGGTGTGATGGCTACCGTTCTGAAAGCCCGAAGCCGCGCGCTGTCGGCCACAAGCAATGTCTTTGGGGTCAAGGCGCCGTCCGACCAGCCACCAGGGCTAGGCAACATTGATAATTCGTGCTACCAGAATAGCATCCTGCAGGGACTTTCCTCGCTCGATTCTATTCCGGAGTTTCTGTCAACGTGTCTCGAGAATCTGGACACTAAGCAACCCAATAGCAATGTTGCTCAGACACTAAAGACACTGATATCTGATCTAAATGATCTCGAAAACAGCGGACAGACTTTATGGACGCCGAGAGTGCTCAAATCGATGAGCACGTGGACACAGCAGGATGCGCAAGAATACTACTCCAAAATACTCGACGACATAGAAAAGAGCGTGGCCACTGCAGTGCAGGGCTGTCGGCCGCAGCATGGGCTGGAAAGTGACGCACTGGTCAAGGACGATGCGACACCCAGCGAACACAGCGATGACAGCGGATACCACAGCGCCACTCCCGACTCGAGATTGTCCGAGATGAAGCTGATTCGAAATCCTCTCGAGGGGCTGCTCGCGCAAAGAGTAGCCTGCATACGTTGTGGTCACTCGGATGGCATCTCCATGATTCCATTCAACTGTCTTACGCTCAGCCTTGGACTCGACAAGAATCAACACGATCTCTACGAGCGTCTAGATGCGTACACCAAGGTCGAGGCCATCGAAGGTGTCGAGTGCCCCAAGTGCACGCTTTTGAAAACGCAAATTCTCTTAACAAACCTCTTGAATAAGATGAAGGAGAGCAATATTTCCGAGACACAGTTGTCCGACACGATGCAACGCTTGGAGGCAGTCAATCTTGCGTTGGAAGAGGATGACTTTGACGAAAAGACGCTTCACGGGGCATGCAAAATCTCACCAAAAAGCAAGGTTATGACAACCAAGACGAAACAAATCGTGATCGGGCGGCCACCTCAATCACTGGTCGTACATATGAATCGGTCTGTATTTGATCCAACCACGTTTGATATGATCAAAAACTCAGCACCTGTGCATTTTCCCATGACTCTAGATCTTGGCCCGTGGTGCCTAGGCAGCTCGGGCAGCAAGGCTGGCAGCGTCAGTAGGGAAGAGTTGTGGCCCACGGGGTCCATGGCTTCCTTAATCGCTGCGGACAGCAACCGCTCGCGGCTTTCCGGTCCGATTTACGAGCTGCGCGCTGCCGTGACACACTATGGCCGGCATGAAAATGGACACTACATATGCTATCGCAAGTACCCACGATCTGCACAAAGTACCCCGGCTCCCAGCGAAGCAGCCGAGGCAACGACTGATGATACGTCGGAGGGGTTTACAGGACCCGCGCCGGAAGAGAACGCAAGACTAGCGATGTCTGAGTCCAAGGCTGCACCCGCACATTCTGACGAATTTGTTGAAAAAAATGAAGAAGTTACTTCGGCAGAAGCTCAAGAGGCCGAGATTGAGGGTAGTGTAGAAGAAGTTGCAACAGGCGAAGTTGCTGATCCCGACACCGACGCCCAGGCAGAGAATCGGAGCGAGGCCACCACGCCGATTGAGCCGACGTGGTGGCGCCTCAGTGATAACAACGTCAGCAAAGTAAGCGATGAGACAGTCATGTCGTTATCGCCCGGCGTCTTTATGCTCTTTTACGAATGCGTCGATTCCACCATGGTTCTCGACGCGGAGGAGGACGAGATGCAGGACGCTGAGGCTGGCCTACCTACCAATTTTCATTCCGAGGCTACAACACTCACCGCGCCATCGGGGCCCGGCTCGCGCACTTCGATGTCGGGCACTTTGGGCACGCCTACAGCGGACACAGAGACGGACATGGAGACGGAGACGGAGGCTGACGCCAACGAATACCGATCAGATGCTGGCGCCACGGAGACGGACGATACGACAGTGGGGACCGCAGAGTCGGCCTCTCCTCCAGACAGCGATTCCGGGGTTGACAGCAAGCCTTGAGGAGCTAGGGATGATTGGGCACTGGAGTATTTGTTTGCTAGGGCGAAATAGGTTCTACTGCATGGCAAGGCGTTTTGATGGGCAAGCTCTGGCGAAGTAAGGGATCGACGACCGTACAGCATAGCCAGAGCGGTGTTATTGTCTATTCTGGGTTGTTGGAGCGAGCATAGCATAAAAAAGAATGCATTTTTCTCGTGGAAATTTTATTTTCCTACTCTTTTCTTTTTCAGTTGCGTCGCGAAATTGTGCCCGTCTGATGATGGCTCGGCGTTATAACCCATGGGCAAGGGGATGTATTCGTAGGCCGTGCGGTGCGGGATCCAAGCAAGCAACACGAAATGGCACGCAATCCTGAAACGCGGACGGCACATGCGTTGCATTGGCTTGGCACTCTTCGGCGCATGAATGATCTGTCCCGAAAGGGCGAATTGCGTGACTTGACAGGATATGAAGGGAAGGTGAGCAGCGGGAACTACAGATGTCAATAAATCACAAACCGAGTCCGAGTATCCGTAGGGCTGTGGTATTGTAATGTGTGTGTTTTGTTTTTGAATCTAGCTGATGAGACAGGGCCAGTGGTTGATGAGAACAACTGCACGCAGACAGTTGACAGATGTTGATGGTGAGACTTATTGATACAGAGGGCGGTGGCCACGTGGCGGAACCAATTGGGGCCGGAGAGCCCGGAGAAGCCAAGGGAGTCAGGTTCAGGGGGTGGTGGCTATATCAGTGTGAAATTGCGAAAAATCTGAAATTTGAATTGACGGAATGACTGGGGGTTCTATTCACGCGCATCTTGCTCCCTCCTCTTTCTTCAACGCCTTGCATTCCTATCCGTACACCTATGTTGCTATGTAGAACCAAATGATATATAACTTGATCATACAATGTCACTCCGGGTCGTAGTTGGGGGTGTGTGTGCTTCCAAAATCAACCCGTCTGATCTTGTCGATTGAGGACCTGCCTCACTTCGACGCAAAGCTGACGACAGACGAGCAAGGAAGCCACTCCCCTTCGCGAGTAAGTCGAGTCCTTCCCGCATCTACTTGCACTCGTTCTTGGCCGCAGCAGCAGTAGTGGCGGGAGGAGGAGGATGAGTAGAGGTCGACGCGCCGCCGCCAGGGGTCTTGGAGGTGGCGGGCACGACAGCCGGGGTGGCCGGGGGCGGCGAGCCAGCTGTAGCAGTGCTGGG